TATGACTCAGCTTTTGAGACCAACTTGATTCCCATGAGTGTCAGTAACTGATCTTTGCTTGAATATTCAGTCCAAATCCTATCTTTTATAAATATTGAAACCATATATAAACCAAGTGAGTTAGTGTGTCTATATTGGGAAATCTTGAAGCTATTGTGAGAGTACATGCCTTAGTATCGTAGGGAGGAAAACATGCATCATCTTGACATAATGAGGACAGAGTTGTCTGCATGGCCCATCATGCACTCTTTTTGGTTTTTAGAAACAGGGTTTTCTGTAGCCATGGCTGTCCTGGAATTCACTCTGTAGACCAGACTGGCCTCACACTCACAGAGATATGCCTGTCTCTGCCTCCCAAGTGCTACTACCACCATCTGGCTCCATCATGCACTCCTAGAATGAATATAGCTTCCTAAAATGAATGCACATGTTCATTAAGATACAACTCTAAACATCCTAACTGTTCTCCTTCACTTGGTAAGGTGCTGTGATTAAAGACCTGATAGGTCAGCTTCATCTGGCACAGAAATGAATTTAAAATCCTTCTTCTCTTTAATGGTAGGGATTGATCTGGATTTTGAGCAGCTTATCTCTGATTTTGAGTTATATTAAACTCTGCCTAGTAGAGTAATTAGAGCTTTACTAGAAATGTTTAAACAAGCACACCTAACCTGTATTTGAATGCAGTTTTACTCACTTGTAGCTGAGGATATTTAAACACATCAGTGTACAAATCTGGGGCCTAATCTAGGTTTCTAAATACTATTATTCAACAAAAAGAACCATAGCATCTTGGAGAAATAGTGGTGTTAAGGGTAGGGCAAAGAAGATACAAGATGAACTTGGGTAATCTTCAGTTGTCTGAAGAAACAGAAGTATGTAGAACCAAATTTTTAAAAAAAGGTTTAAAGTGCTGGGCATTGGTGGTGCATGCCTTTAGTCCCAGCACTCGGGAGGCAAAGGCAGGCGGATCTCTGTGAGTTTGAGGTCAGCCTGGTCTACAGAGCTAGTTCCAGGATAGCCTCCAAACCAATACAGAGAAACCCTGTCTAAAAAAAATAAATAAATAAAAGAAGCAGGTTAGAAAGACATAGGCATTACCAAAGCTGGAACAATTGGAATATCTGAATAAATGACATCAGTATTCTGTTGTAGTTCAGAGAGTCAAATATCTACAACAGTGAATGATACAGCAGTGTAATAAGCAAACATCACATCACAGAGGAATTGTAATTAATGAGGTGATTTAATTGGCTATTGAACAATGCAAACATACCACAATATCACATTTAGTTTATAAATATATATTATTTCATATCTGGCATTTTAAAAGTGAGATTTAGAGCCAGCAAGATTTCTCACCTTGGGTAATGGGGCTTCCTGAGGAGCCTGATAGCCTGAGTTGAACCCCTAGAATCCACATGGTTCAAGGAGAACTAATCCCAACAAGTTGCCATCTGACATTCATATGTGTGCCATGGCATGCACATGCCTCCACACACAGATAAGTATTTTTAAATAAAATTTTAAAATAGAATCGAGACCATGACAGAAAGGAAACATATTCCTGTTTAATTCTCTGATCTGACATGGCCTGAAATCTAAGTCTGGGTTAGAGAAAGGAGTGCCCTTGGTTGTTTCCCTGTTCATTGCTCAAAGCTGGTGATGATGGAGTGAGTCTGTAACTATTCTGAGTTATTGTGAGACTTTGCTGTGTGCTGTCTCCACACTAACAACACATGCGTACAGCATTCGTGTATGTAGTGAAGAGGTAAGTGAAGTGGTTAGTATGATGAAATGGGAACACAGTAGGGCTCCACATCATGGGATTTAATCAAGCACAGATGGAAAATATTGCTCATGGTTACTATGTGGATAGACCCAGGAAGGTTGTATCTCTACTAAGCCTGTGCAGAGTTTGTTTTGTTATTTTTTGTTGTTGTTGTTGGTGGTGGTGGTGGTGGTTTTGCCATTATACTGTAAGCAATTACATACAGCAACTATTTGTGTGCAAATACTGCCCCATTTTATGTAAGAGGCCTCAACATCCAGATTTAGTACCCACTGTGGGTCCTTTAACCAGTCCCCCCAGAGATGCTGAAGGCAGTTGTGTAGTAATCAGAAATCCTGAATGTTTCTATTTCATCTACATGCTGACCCCTTACCTCATTCACTGTATTTCATTTACAAAAAAGCTATAGGCTGTGAATGAATATATATATATCCAGATTCCTATGGAGAAATATAAATGCCTTGTTAAAATGCCTTTTTATTGTCAATTCTTTAACCTTGCAAGTATTAACTTGGTCACAAATAGCTAAAATCACTGCATCGGGGAAGGATATAAAGGTGCAGTTAACCCTGGTTTCTGGTCCATGTCTGCAGTGCAGTAACCAGCTGCATCATCTCTTGCAAGTGCTTAACTTTCTCTTGAAATAAGTTTTCCACATTGCTTTACTAAAGATTACCCAAAAAGCTTAGATTACCACATACTGTGATAAAACCCCTTTAAAAGACAAAGACATGGGCTGCACACGTAGCTTTCCTTGCATGTATGATACCCTCACTGCCATTTACTGAGTACACACTATGTTTCAGGGCCATGATGTACTTTTTCTACATAAGTAAATCTTAACACACTTAGCAGGTTATCACAAATATAATTTTGGAAGTGGTCTGGCAAAGGCTCTTGGATGTGGACGGGTATGATTCTGTGATAGCATAGTGAGCCTGGCTGCCGTTCAGTGTGGTTCTGCTTGTTCTACAGAACCGGATACCTAGAAAACATAAGTGTCCACTTAGTACCACCTTCTTGTGATTGAACAGAATGCTTTCTCTGGCCAGATCTGTACAAATTAGATTGAACAGAACTACCCTAGATACAGTGATTCTTCCTCAGTTCTTGCTGTCTGGCTAAGAAATGTACCAATGACTGACCTTAAGGCCACATGTCAAGCTGTCTTCCCAACAGGCTTGTGTCCTCTGTCCTTAAAGTTCTTTTCTCCAGGGTGTTTGGAAGTTCCGAGTGAAGCACTTTGTCTGTCTCTTTAAGACATTGAATTTTTTTCATGCTACTTGAAGGGTATCTTCAGTTTATATATACTGAAAAACTCATCTTGCCATTGTGATTTAAAATGCAGTCACCACTGTGCCTATCTCAGGCTCTCCAATCATCTATTCCCAGAGTTTGATTGTCTCTCTGTAGGAAATTAGCCTTTTCCTCTTTAAAGTAGATTTGAGTATCTAATTCTTAACTCGTTCTAGAATATAGTTTTTCTAAAAGATTATAAACATCTCTATGCATGAGTTATCACGTGGCAGGAGTGGCTAGTCTTTGAGGTCAAATAAAGAAGACAAAGATCTCTGGGGTGGTGTTACATTGTAAAGATAGATGTGATTGGGACCCTGTCCTCATCCTCCTGTGCAGTTTCTCTGGTAAGCAATAGTGGTAACAGTGGTCTCACAGAAGCAGCGCTGACATTTCACATCTGTGTTCTCAGCATTTCATGTCTTCAATCATTAATCCTCACTGTATCTTATCTGAGCAGGTCGGTTATTCTCACTGGCTTAGATTTGGAAACCTAATCTTCAGAGAAGTAAAATACCTTTCCTATGGCACTAGGCTTAGAAAGAAACAAACTGTAAGTCGGTTCTAGTTCTCCCTAACTTTGTAGTTATTATTCTCTTCCATGAAGCAGCTATGACATGGTTACAATCATTACTGTGCCTGATGCCTACCTGTTCTTATTGTCTGCAGGCTAAAAGACTATTTTCCCCAAATGTGTATTGTCTCAAGGCACAAACCAAGCTGGAGTTAGCATATTGATCCCTCATGACAGCTGCCATCTGGGCATGTTTTTTTATTGCAGCTATGCAGAAGGGGAAACTAAGGTTCACAGGCGCTGATCCTGGTCCTAAAGCACTGTCTGGCAGTGGAAACTGGATCCACTTTTTTTGAGCCTTTGCTTAGGCTTCCTGTACATGAAATGCTTCGCACATACCAGTAGAGAGCCAGAGCCTCTCACTTTCAAGACTCAATGCACAAGAGAGTACGGGCTTAACTATACAACATTTGGGAGTTATTTCTTGAGTCTTATCAAAAGGGCAAACACACATCTATGACAAAGGACACTGAAAACTTGTATGTATGTGCATATTGTAAGTACTGAGTAGAGTGTTTGCAGAGTGCATTCTAGGTGTCAAAACTGTAGCTTCACTGTGACTAAGATTATAAGGGGAAAGGCTTACAATTGTTTTGAAGTATAATGCCACTGCATTCCAAAAATGAGCATGTAAGTTATAGTGGTGATAGGTGGCTTGTGGCCAGGCCATATGCTATCATTTGTTAACAAGATATTCAGATGCATATCTGTCTATAGTAGGATGTATAGATCAATGTTAAAGAGTTATTACTTAAAATTTCTCAGTTTCTCAAAAGCTGTTATATGTTGCTACCTAGTTGGGTTTTACTCATTTACCTCTTATAGACTATACGGAATAAAAAGTCCATTAGTAATCAAGTAACTTCCATTCTACAGTAGTCAAATTCACAGTGGTTGTCCACACAAATAGAACTTTCAGCCAAAAAGCAAAAAAAGAAAGGCATGGTTTAACAATTGGGCTTAGTGGCTTATATCTATAGGTAAACCCAATACTTGGGAGGGCAAGGCAGGACAATGATGAGTTCAAAGCCAGCCTAGGCCACACTGTGAGATCCTGTGTCAAAACAGCAACAACAACCATGGTTTGAAGTTGTTTCCTATCTGTCACATGTTCTGTTTTAGTGGAGAACTCAATTCACATATGCATTTATTCAGCAATGTTCATTACTTATTATTAGTTTATCATTGTGATAATTACTAGAGAAATGCTAAAGATAGATGTCACCCTCATCTTTATATATTAGATCATAGCGGTCCTACATTATGAAATTTATTACTGAGAAATGCAGTGTAGTTCAGGAGCAGAAATGAAAGTAACATTTATTTCCATCCCAATAGATTTCGGTTTTGGAAATTTCTTTAAAACTGGTGAACTGCTGGCAACGTGGTGTGGCAGCCCCCCTTATGCAGCCCCAGAAGTCTTTGAAGGGCAGCAATATGAAGGACCACAGCTGGACATATGGGTACTGCTTTGCTTTGATATGTTAAATGTATCTATCATGATCATTGGTACTCTGGCCTATCTTAAAAGTTCCTGATACTCAACACATGGATAAAATTTCATCTTCTCTCCATCCAATGGATTGTAATTAGTCAGAGCATCTGGAGATAGATCCCTAGGAAAGAATTTCTAGGGACAAGTGTTACCATCCTAATATCAGCAGTGATTTGAAATAATATGATGAGCAAAATTATCAAATTCAGATCATTTGGTATTTATGCCTAACTCTCGCCACAGGAATTTTGGACAGGAACTCATCAATCCGTGTAATTTTAGGAGCCATAGTGGATTTTGGAACATCAGAGTGTTGAAGTCTTCTCTGAAAGTGACTGTGTTGTTTTCTTCCCTAGAGCATGGGAGTTGTTCTTTATGTTCTTGTCTGTGGAGCTCTGCCTTTTGATGGACCAACTCTCCCTATTTTGAGGCAGAGGGTTTTGGAAGGAAGATTCCGGATTCCATATTTCATGTCAGAAGGTAATGAGCTGTTCCTCATATTGGCTGTTCATTATAGAATTTGTGCTGTATAAAGTCCTAGCCAACGTTTTCCTGCTGAGAGTTTGGGTACCAGATAAAAATGACTGAGTCATTTTAAAAGCCATGGAGCTCTGCAACACCCTCCATGTAGATGAGACATGTTCCACCCTTCCTCCTTGTAACTGAGAACAGAAGCTACCCAGATTAAGAGCAGCAAATCTTCCCATTCAGCTTGGGTCTATAAATGTCCCAGTTTATTTTAGACTCCATAGATACAGGCTTACAACCATTTTACTCTATGTATGAAATAGATTTGCAAAATTAAAAGTTTTTAAATTACAAAATCAATTGATGGAACTCTGGTAAATCAATTGAAATGCCATAGTCCCTGCCTGTCTTGTTTTAGGCCATCTTATAGACAAGAGTTTGATTTAATCCTTAGTTGTGTCTTCAGTTTTCACCCTTATCTCTTATTCCTGCAAACAGTAGACGTAATTAATGTGCTTGGGAAGGCAAGGTCACATAGGCTCTGGAGACAGACTACCTGGTTGGAATCCTGAGTTCACTATTCACTGGCCCTGCAGTTTTGGCTCAGCTGTAAAATGGAGTTAACAATAGTTCCTACCCTCAAGATGTCGTAAGGATGATGAAATTACTCTGCACAAAACACTTAGTACAGTGCCTGACAGATGTGACTGGCAGGAGGCTGAGTTGGAGGAGGATGGTGAAGAGCTAGCTGTCACTCCAAGCTGCAGCTGCAGTATATGGAGTGTCATCAATAGCAGAGCTACATACGCGGTCCTTGGCAGAACTGATGAGAAAAGCAGCCATTCACTGGAACAAGCACGATGCTCTCCCAGCTGGCTTTACTGAACATGCCCCAGTATGACCAAGGATCAGTTCTTGTTCTGAGAATGAAGCTTAGAATTGTTTTTCCTTAGAGAAAAATCTAAGTGTAACTAGATAAAATGCACCAGAAAGGCTTTTTCAGCACACAGGTAGACTTACACTCACCTGTGTTTCCTAAGTGTTTGTTCAGCTTTTGAACTTGACTAGTCTACCCCGCATGCATTCATTTGCTCATTTGTCCTTCGGTGGATAACACAGAGATAAATGTTGTTGTGCAAAGCCACATGGGCCATGTAAGTATGCCTGAAGTTGATCTATGTGACTTTTTATGTTTTGTTCACAGATTGTGAACACCTTATTAGAAGGATGTTGGTCCTAGATCCTTCCAAACGGCTAAGCATAGCTCAAATCAAGGAGCATAAGTGGATGCTCATAGAAGTTCCTGTACAGAGACCTATTCTCTATCCACAAGAACAAGAAAATGAGCCATCTATCGGAGAATTTAATGAACAGGTTCTGCGATTAATGCACAGCCTTGGAATTGATCAGCAGAAGACTATTGAGGTAAAGTGATGAAGATGTGTCTGGAGATATTTTAGGGTTCTTCTGCATTTGTCCCTTGGAGACAAATGCTCACGCCTGTCATTCTGGTCTTCTAGCACATGCTCCCCCATGCCTGGGTGTACTGCTCAGGGTTCCCTGATGATAACATCAGGCTCTGTTTATAATTGCTGTTATTCAATCTCTAAACCCTTTCCCTCTCTGGCAAAAAGTCCAGGAAAAGAATTTTCAGAGGATTCAAAAAGAGTCAAGACTGAGGCTTACAAATATAAGATAGGGGAGGCTGGGCATGGTGGTACACACTTTAATCCCAACACTGTGAGGCAAGTAGAATCTGTGGGCTCAAGGACAGTCAGAGTTATATAATAAGACCCTATCTCCAACGAATACAAGGTTAAAGTGAGACGAAGTTTCACAATCGTATAAAACTAATGTGTGAGGACTATAAATGTACATATATGAAACAAGACTAAGGACTGAGCCAAGAACCAAAAGAAAAGCAGCAGATTAAAGCAAGCAAGTCAGGGTTAGACCCAGAGAAACTAAACAGGCAAAAGCAAGTGAGGTTATGGTTTGGAAATATTAATGGTTATAGAATGAAGAAAGCTTTGAACCTGGAAATTTCCTCTTGGATTTTTTTTTCTTTTCTATCTAATAGTTAGCATGATTATAGAACATACACAGTACCTGCACAACAGCCCCACCAAAGTAGAACAGTACTTTTATGGAGACTGCTTCTTATCTCCTATTGTGGCCATGAGCAAAACCAAACTTGCTGTCTCACTTTGTGTACACTCAGTGATGTTTTCCTATGCTTATCCATAGAGTAGATCCTGGATGCCAGCTTCTGTGGGTGCCTCTGGTCTGTGGGTTTTTTTGTTTTCCCTGAGGGTCTCCTGTTACCCCATACAGCACCCATATGGATTGTCAGATGGGATTAGAAGCCAAAAGAGAAATTGTTTCTCTGCTGCGTTGGCATCCCAGGAAAGCTGGCAGACTAGCAATGTGAAAAAAATTGGGAAGCAAATTTATTTTCAAGGTTTCCAAAGGGTGGGGCTGCAAAAACAAGAGGAAAGTATTACCTAAGAACACAGACACAGTGTCTCTCCATCTAGCATCCAAATGTCATTGTCCAGCCTAAAATAATCACCAGAAAGCAAAGGCTTTGTTCATTCACATCAGAGTTTTCAGAGTTGAACTTTGCCCCAAGCTTCAGAGTTAGAACTTTGGAGCACAGGGTGCCAACCAGCCTTACATTTAGTGCTGTGAGATCCCAGCACTGGCAATGTCTACATAAAGCAGTGATGGCATTTTCTCCTAATGCAGGAAAATCAGTAGATCCCTAATAAGGAAATAGGACCAGACTGTTTGAAATGTCACCTTTGATTGATTAATACTAGAGACCTGAACTGTTTGCCTTCCTGCCTGAATTCTAGAAAGGGTTTTGTTGTGAGGCACTGTGGTTTTTTTTTTTTTTTTTTTTTTTTTTTTTTTTAAGTTCCTTACTATCTAAAATTGAGTAAAAATTCAGATCTAAAATCTCAAGCCAAAATTATTATGGGAATTCATGTGAGTGGATCTCAGAGGGCTCACTTGTTCCTGTACAGCTTTATTTGTTAAGGCACAAACAGAATATTTCCACATGTACCCTTGAACATCACGGCAGCGAGAACACGCGGCAGAAACTGTTACTCACTTCTTAGAAGCCAAGGGACAGAAAGGGGAGGTTTTATGCTTTTACTTTCAGGACACATACTTTACCCTCCCTTTTAAAGAAATATAGATCTTTTAGTTGGTTTTATCGTTCTGTGCCTTCAGCACCTGTTTTCTCTTTCAGTCTTTGCAAAACAAGAGCTATAATCACTTTGCTGCCATTTATTTCTTGTTGGTGGAACGTCTGAAATCACATAGGAGCAGTTTTCCTGTGGAGCAGAGACTTGATGGCCGCCAGCGCCGGCCTAGCACCATTGCGGAACAAACAGTTGCCAAGGTAACGGCCATGGAGCCACTAGTCTCATCTGTGCATGTGTCTTTTTATGTTGGACACACTTTTCATCATTTGGTACAAAAGGTTAGGATCTCATCTTCTGCGGTGTTTTTCTAGGATTCAGCCACTGTCACTCACTAGAGTCTCAAAACTTTTAGCATCTCCCTGCTTTTAGGAATTAACTTTATTTTCAGTTTATTTCCTTAAGAGATATTTTGTCTTTTAATCATTTAATGATTTGCTGATCTTGAGAATTAATGTAACTAGCCTATACTTTCAGTTCATTTATCAGAATTATATTGCACATTGACCATGTGCAGGCTGCTGTTGTTAGGCACTCTAGGAGTTTGAATGCATGAAACACCATCATGGTTCTCAGAGCTATATTCTAGAAGCAAAATAAGATATGGCCAGAATCATATCTTATTCCAGGACAGGAAGATGAATAATGTTGAAGAGCTGAAAGCAAGGGAGAGAGGCTCATCTGAACAGGAAGAGATGACATTTAAAACAGCTCTTCATGGAGGTGTGAGACTGTGATAGCAACATTAAATACTGAAGACATGACTAGGAAGGTGATGCACACAAAATGAATAAAAGTGCTCACGTGGCCTTGTAGGCCTTGTTCCTATTAATTCAATCCATTTGAACTAAATAAAAATGGGGAGTGGTAAGCGGAAGCAATATTGTGAAGAGCTCTAACTGCCAAGAATGACTTATAATTGAGGAAGCAATAACAATCTTATGAAGACCATAGGCCAGTTGGTACGGGAGCATTGGAAAAGATGGCTTGGTTAGGGAAGAGCTTGGGCCAGCGGGCAGGATCTCACTAGCTGGCCTGGAACTTGTTATATAGACCAGGCTGGTCTCCAACTCACAGACATCCACTTTTCATTAAAGGCATGTGCCACCCTGCTTAGTCTGGGAAGAGCAGAAATTTTTGAAGAATACGTTAATTGAGATTCTTACACTAATTGAGATGCAGAATGCTGAAGACTTAATGTGGTGCTGTGAGAAAGGAAGGGCTAAGACAGTTAGACCAGTGTGAGCTTAGCACTGATGGGAAATGCAGCTCCACTAGTGGTTAGAAGCAGGGGCTCCAGAGTGATTCCCAGATTCTGTGCCTCACTTTGCCTGTCCTAAAATGGGAATGACACTAAATGCTGTGACCAGATGAGTTGATATCTATGAAGCCTGTAAACAGTACCTAGCACATAGCACATTCTGAGTATCTGTTCCACAACAGAGTCAGAGGCAGCATTATTCTCAAAGGCCTGAGGACACAGTGAGCACATGGGCTCAGCGCTAGGAGAGTGGTGTGGTCTGAGAGAGGTCGAGGGCTTGAGTGTAGCAGCTGGGAAAGGAGTGGCTTCTTCCCATTAAGATGCCTGCCACGTCTGTAAGCAGCACTCCATGTTCAAGAGAGTTATAAATGTACAGGAACAAAAGAAGATTTTTCATTGGCTTCTACAGAACATGAAAAAAATAAGGGAATGAAAAGTCTTGATTTCTAACAGGTGAATTATGTATTTTTCTTAAATATCTTATAAATAAAATAATGTGTCGGTACAATTGTGAGAGAATATTGTATTGGTATAGCTCCAGATATTTGGATTAGAGTGTTTCCGAGCATGTTAGAACTTTTAGAATTGAATAGCACTGCTTTTGAGCAAGAGGGGAAGGGAAAAAAGAACTCCTAAGCTGTGCTGATAATAGTGAAGCCCTTCCTACACGCAAATATGGCCAGACACTTATGCAGTGACAACCTTTCCTCTTCTTAAGTATTCTACAAGTGAGAGAGGTGAAGGGCTACATCAACAGTGTTCCCCAGCACCAACCCGTGTTATTGTACAGGGTCCTTTCCTGTCTGCATGGTAAGCAGATCCCTCAGATATCTCAAATTGTGTTTAATTTGGCTTGGGGTACAGGTGAATAATGTACATGGCTTCTTTTGTTGTTAACTTTGGTTTTTACTGCCAAGCACACCATGAGTTCTTTTCATTGTGTGCATTGGCCCAAGACAGCATCAAACTGCAAACTATGTCTTCACAAGTGTCTAATTCTAAAAGACAGGTTTCCTACTAACTTGTTGAAAGTGCCTTCTGCACCCTAAGGAGACCCACAGCTGAAGAAATGCTCCCTGCCCTTTGTTTTAGTGTGCCTTGTTTAAAAAAAAAAAAAAAAAAGAAACGAAAAGAAAAAAAAGAAACTGATTTCTGTTTATTTATATGTAAATATGCTCAAAGTTTTAATAGAGCTTCCTTATTTTGTCTATTTTATTTATTTATTTACCTTAGGGTTTTTAGAGACAGGGTTTCTCTGTGTGTCTTTGGCTGTCCTGGAACTTACTCTGTAGACCAGGCTGCCCTCAAACTCACAGATCAACCTGCCTCTGCCTCCCGAGTGCTGGGATTAAAGGTGTGAGCCACCACCTGGCAAGCTTCCTTGTTTTAATTCTTTGAATTTTCCTTTAAAAAGAGAGTAGATCACTTGTTCCCAGGCATAACAATAAACAAAACAAAGCCAGGAAACAGCTTGATCTAATACAGAGGTCACCCAAACTATAGAATCATGCAGGCCTTGAGTTCCATATAGATGACTGATTTTGTTCCGGTTAGCATTTGTGAGATCCTGTGTCTGTAAATATAAAAGGGAAATAGTGCCTGCTTAATATGTTTGCTGCCAAGATAAAATTAGTCAAGCTGTGGGAACAGTTGTGTTCAGCAGAGTACAGTTCTCATCTGCTAGGCAGTGTAGTCGCCACTGAAGTACCCAGGAGCCAGCCCTTGGTCATAAGCAGTCGTTAGTCTAGTGATGGAGTGCCGGTTACTATTTTGTAGACAATAGTGAGCTTCTCACTGTAGGTAGGTGGCAAGTACTTTTCATTCAATGTATATCATGCCAGAAACTTTGCAACTGACCAGCTTCAGAAAACTATTTAGGAGAAAAAAGAAAACTCTTACCCTTTTCTCATAAACCCTACATACTAGTTTTTAAACAACTTTTCTACTTAAAGTTTCAAGCAGACAAGAATGAAAGTCTCCTCTGCTCTTCAATAGCTGATTAAAGGTTGTTCCACAATCGTAAGACAGAGCTTTATCTTAATTTGTTTAGGCTGCCATAGTAAAAAAATGCCAGATCAGCACTTAATGTTCTCATGATTCTGGAGGCTCATAGTGTGAGATCTGGGTGCCCTCGGGTGGTTTCTAGCACAATCTCTCTTCTGGGCTAGTAGATGGTCACCTCCTGCTCTGCCCTCATAGGCTTTTCCTTGTGGTGTCTCTTGCTCCTCTTGTGAGATTACCAGCCTGCCATGTAGTATGCACCTATAACTCAGTGGCCAGCAGGGATGACATAGTACCATTCTGTCATCACTTTATAATTTGAGAATACCTTTGTGGGTTGATATCCTCCTTTATTCCAGAAGGGTATTTTTTGCCTAGTACTGGGGATTGAATCCAGGGTTTTGTACTTCCTTGTCAAACCCTCAACCATACCACATCTCAGCTTCTGAAAGACACCTCACACAGTCACCTCACACAGACCTATAAAACATGATTATATTTCCTAGGAAATGTTACATCAAAATGTTATACCTCCTCGTTATATCAAAATCTTGGGTAATTTTCTGTAGTCTTAAATCAAATGTAAAGTGGTTGAGGAGGCCAAGTGTGATTGATGGTGTGTACTGTGGCGCCTAAGGCAAGATTCAGGGGTCAGTGCCAGCTGGAACTCCAGAATAAGACCTTGTCTTCAAAAACAGAAAGAACTGACAAGGAAAATGTGGTATGCTTAGTCTGACACAGTTCTGTCTGCCATAAAAAGACAGAATTTAGGGAAACATGACCAAGCTAGAATAGCCCTTGTGATATCGGATATGGCTATCTCATTTCCAGTGCACTATCTTCAGGTAAGGCTTTCCCTACTCTTAAGTGGAAGGAACAGGTTATGAAATTGGGGAACTAGAAATTGATTAAGAAACTGATGATGAGGTAGGAATGTAGTAAATGTACTTTACTAGAAAGTGAAAGTGTTGCATGGTAGCCAGAGAGATTAAAGCCCAAAGAAGGATGCTGAAAGAAAAGCTGTTCCTTTACCATGCTCAGATGCTGTTTCCCATCCTCTCACTACTAATGGTTACTGTTTTATCCTATTTTTCATGCAGTATAACTAATGATACTACTATCAGAATATGTTCTATATAAAGTATATTTAAGTACACTCATTTTTTTAAATGTACAGTAAGAACACACCCCTTCCTTAAAAATCATCAATTTAGCTGAACATGGTGTAATAGGTATTTAATGTCAACACTCGGGTGGCAGAAGCTACTGGATCTCCATGCATTCCAGGCTGGCCTGGTTTACATAGCAAGTTCCAGGGCTACATGGAGAGACCCTGTCTCAGAAACAAAAACAAACAAAAGAAATCAGCTTAAAATTTCAACTGGAAGCAATGAGGCACTGACTGAAACCAAAACTGCATTTATCTTCCTGTCCAGTTGTTTTGTCCTTGGGGTCATTTTAAGACTGGAAGGGAAAGAGGAATTAAGATTGCTAAGCTGAAGGATTCACATGTTAACTTTCAGTCTAACTTCACTATGAAGTGGTATTATACCCATTTTGACAGGAATAGAAAAGATTCAGAGAATGTTAGATTGCCTGATTAAAGTCATCATATATATAATTAATAAGTGATAGAACTACCAATCAAGCTCACACCTTGAAAAAGAAATGGAATTTCATACAGTTTTATCCCTTTTGTTTGTATTTAGAAGTCACCATCCTGTACCCCTTGTAACTGTAGCAGGGAAAATAGAGGCTGCTTCTCTTTCTGTTAGAATCTGGTATGATAATTGTCCCCTTAGATGTTTCAGTATCTGTTATGTTCAAGATATAACTGAGAAATGATTCTGCCAGTTCTTAAGGGCTATGGATAGAAGGATTATCCAGGAGCTTCAGAAATAATATCACTGCCAGTTGTCAAAGACTCTTTTAAATGATTTTTGTAAGACGAGTATAATCCTTGTTACTTAAAGCATTTAACAAAGGAGACAGAAGAATGAACTGAACTACCCACAGGAAGCCAAGGGTGGTCATGGCACACGCTTGTAACCCCAGCATTTAAGAGGTAGAAGCAGTAGTCCCCAAGCAATGAGACAAAAAGGCAGAAATAGACCCAAAGCTCTGTGTAGCAGGCTAGTTTCAGGAACAGCACTCTGTAGCAATAAACGTTTCTCCTATTGCTCCAGCAGGCTGTGTTTAGACTGCATCTCCTCAAAGGAAGGGGACCATCCTGTCACCCTGAGTAACTGCTTCTCTCTTCTTCCTCTTCTTATGGGGAGAAGTAGGAAAGGGCGATCACTTCATGTACCTTCTTTATAGCTAGCTATGGGGCTTGGGGCTTGTGTATATCAGACCTTGGCTCATTGTTGAGTTCCTATAGGCTGGGCCATTTCCTTTTGTTCTTTTTTTTTTTTTTTTTTTTTTTTTTTTTTTTCCCCGTTCTTTCTTTCTTTTTTTTTTTTTTTCATTCTTTCTTTTTTTTTTTCTTCTTTCTTTTGTATCTCTCAGCATATTTAAAGGAAAAGTAGAATTTTATTGAATCGATACAAAGATCCTTCGTTGATTTCTTACAAAGGCTATGTTGTTGCCTGTGTGAAAGGTATGTCTCTCACAATGAGACAAGACCCAAATTCTGTACTGTTTATTTCTGCGTGTCTGATTATTGAGACTTAAATGTAGTACTTACCATGCATGTGAATGCACACATATGTACACATGCAATCAAGTCTTTTCTGGAGTACAGTGAATAACACTTTACCTTTTTATTGCCTCAGGAAGACCTGTTTAGTATGCATGTGTATAGAACAAGCAATAATGTTCCCACACTGTCTGTTCTTGCCATATTTTCAGGCACAAACTGTGGGACTCCCAGTGACCTTGCATTCACCGAACGTGAGACTGATGCGATCTACCCTCCTCCCACAGGCATCCAATGTGGAAGCCTTTTCATTCCCAACATCCAGCTGTCAAGCAGAAGCTGCCTTTATGGAGGAAGAGTGTGTTGATACTCCTAAGGTATGGCTGGTGTGCTTGAGACACAGTGCAGAGTGGCTCGAGGCTTCAGTTTGGTATACAGTGTTGTAGTGTGCTTTTGCTGGATGTTGCTTTGGCTTTGGTGAAGAACCTTATTAAGGTGTTCAAAGATCAGCTTTCATCTGTTAAATAACAACTCTCAGGTCACATAAACCCTCTGCTTTTTCCTTCCCTGACTAATTCCTTTTCTCTCCCAAGTTTTAAGATTCCTCATACATGTTTGGGTACATGAGTGGATGGATGGGTAGGCAGGTTGGTTGACTTAACAAATTATGATTTTAAAAACAAAAGGCCACCATTGTTATTGTTGCCTCTTTTCTATTCAGCAAACTGTAAATACAAAGTGATAGAATCTCTTTAACTGTATAAACATCCTTTCTGTCCAGCTTGGGCATGCTTAAAAGGTTTAGTTTGTATTTGATGTATTATATAAAGTTGGCTGTTGGGAAGTGGAAGATGACCACTTCTTTCATGCAATGGATTTTTTTCTGACTTCTAATATAAGTGGTATATACTCAGTACCAAGTGCTATACACATGATCATATTTATAGGAAACAGTGTCATAAAAGAATATAGGTTTTGGAGTATATTAAACTGCTCTTTACTAAGCTGTGTGGATTTGGGCAAGGTGATTTTTACTTTCTTCTGTATAAAAGGATACCCATTTTAGGAGAGAGACTGTTATGAGAATTAAGTAAGAGAATCTGTGTGGTTTAGGGTAGATTTTTACATAGTCAACAAATAGTTTTCCCATGTTTTAGCCTCTTTGGGTAATAAAAACATGAATCAGACATGAACTTGCCTAACAGCCTGCTAGACTGTGGCCTAACAAAAAGAATATTAGATGGAACTAAAACAACATACACTGCTGAATAAATTGATTACATGTCACACATGAGGTGTAATTCAAAGTGAACCTAGAAAGAGGCAGGGGGATTTGATTTGGGGGTAACTATCAGAGCTGGAGCTGCAAAGTAGAGTAGAATCCATATGTCTGGAAACTAGGGTGGGGTATCTTCAGTGAAGGGAAGAGCTGTTCAAAAGCGAGCTGTAGGTAACCAGGTCCATCTAAATCAGAGCACTTATTCAATTTGGGGTAAAGGGCATGTAAAGCAAAACTGTAGCAGTAAAGATGCATGTGTTAGTTTTGAATGACAAGCAAGCAATTTAGGTTCTTAGGCAGTGTTCTAGGTGTGGAATGTGGTGAACTATCTGGTGAGATAACTGATATGTTAGATACAACTGAAGGGTTCTGAGCAAGGAAACACTACATGCATCCTGTTCTTTGAAATTTTGCCTGATTAGTTCTCTGGCAGGCACAGGCTAGGGGACAAGAAAAATAGGAGGGTAAGTATGGGTCTGGGAGAGACATGACACGGGACCTGAGATATGGGAATGAGCATCAAATGGGAGAAGAGGGATGGTAGCAGTGGGATTGAGAGGATAGAAGTCCAAGCCTACAGCAAGGTTTTGAGTCTAGACAAATGGGATGGGCCATGCTGTTCTGCCGAGATTTCTGGATATCAGGTAGATTCATAAGTTGCATGAGTCTAGCTGGAGCACAGGGACAGTGGCAGCTGCAAGCCAGCCTGTCAGAGCAGGTGCTAAGCCAAGTTGCTGAACAAGAATAGTTACTGGCCAGCCCTAAAGATGAGTCTGTTTCCTGTGGACTGTTTTCTATGCCTGTGTTTGCTAGCATTACACATTAGTGATACATTTATGCTCAGCATTTAGACATAAATTAGGGCAGCATAATTCGTTTTTAAGATCTAATTCTCTTGAAGAAATTAAAATGCAGTGTGTTGAAGTCTTGTCTGTAAGGGCACCAGGCCCAAAACACAGATTGGGCACTGTCTGCTATAATATATAGGGCAAGCTATTTTTAAAGCTTGTGATTGTTACAGTTACTAGGAAACAGGCAGGAAATGAATGGTTTTGCAAAAGATATAGACAGTTGCTAGATGGTATATTCTCATTTGCAGGAATAAGAGTGTCAAACTGGAACTGGCCCCCCACACCAGCAATGCCACCCTGAAATTCAGACAAACCATAAACATCCACAGGACATACTGTAAATCATTTCATGTCCTTCTGACTACCTTTCTCTGAGGCCCATGAATAAGTGCACACACAAAAGGACCTTCCAGTGCCTTTGTTCGTACAGCTTCGTATACATTTGCTATAACCCACTGTTTATGAACAATATATCATAGCTGTATGTATTGATAATTCCATTTTTGCTTGAAGTTAAGGACTAGTACTGCACATTTAAAAAACATCACCTCTCCTTCCTTTAATTGTTAGGAAACTCTCTTAAGGGGTCTGTCTTGACTTTGACTTGCAATTTCTGGGGTAGGAAGGGAGGGACCTTTCTGAGAAGTAACTGAAACCCTAAGGACATAGGGTTCATAGAGGGAAGACAGTTGTACAAACTCTGTAGAATAAATCCCTCATGTGCACACATTCCAGCCCATTTGTAACACTATTAGAGACTATAATAAAAAGATTTCCAAGTTCACACCTTCACTAGCTGGTTGACAAGGAGCCTTTGAGATAACCCTTGAAAATGCAAGTGTGATGGAGGCATTCCATGTCTAATTGGACCTTAATATGCTGCATTATGCAAGTAGTGCACATGAGAGAAGATTGGAAAAACAAACACCAGACTCAAGGTAATGTTAACCTCTAGTGGCTTTGGGGGAGAAATTTCACTTTCAATTCTGAATTTAAAATTATAATTTGAAATAAAAACAAAAAAACTGGTCAGAATCATGCATGACAGTATGAAGAGAATAAAGATAAAATTAATTTAGTTATAATGTCACTACTCAAAGATAGCCTATTTGACGTCATACTACAAATTGGTGGATAAGATATAAGGCTCAGTGGATGGGATACTCTTAAAATTACTCTCTGTTATGTGTAATTTTGTATCCTCTATCTAACAATATATCATGAGAATGTTTCCCATGTCTTGAAGTAGTCTTTGCCAGGCATAAGCTTTAACAGTTATGTAATCCATTGCTTTATACATCTCTTTCTTTAAACCAACCAACTCCCAAATCATGACACAGACTTCTTATAAGTCATGAAAGCTCAGCCTTAGCTTAGGCTCTTGTTGCTAGCTCTTATAATTTAACCTGTTTCTCTTCATCTACATGTTACCTTGGGCTTGTTATCTTTCTATATGTCTTATTTCCTGCTTCTCATGTCTAGCTGGCAGCTGCTGGCTTCTGGCTCCAGGTGTTCCTCTCTTTCTCCCTTTTTTTTTTTTTTTTCCTCCCTCTTTTTCAGGCTTAGATTTCTTCTATTTGTTCTCTCTGCCCACCAGCCCACCTATCCCTCTCCTGCCTCATTATTGGCCAATCAGCTTTTTATTAAACCAATCACCTGCCTTAGGCAGGCAAGGTGAAACAAATATAACACATCTTTACATAATTAAACAAATGCAGTGTAAACAAATGTAACACATCTTTGCCTAATTAACATAATATTCTACAACAAAAAAGCCTATTGTTGAACACAGTTATTTCCTTTTTCTTGCACCCTTAAGTGGGCTATGGTAGATAATTGTATGTCCAAGCCTTTAACTGTTAAGTCCTATTATTTAAGAACCCATTTCTAAGCCGAGTGTGAGTGCACATGTAACCAGCACTGAGTAGAACAAGGCAAGAGAACAGAAGTGCAGAGGTGCCCGGGCTCCATAGCAAAGCACTAGCTTTGAAAAGAATTTTCTAGCATTGGTGTGATTCCTTTCCTTCTTCACCTGTTAATTTGCCTCAAGGGGGGGGGGGAAGCTTTTTTTTTTTAGTGTAGTTTTTTTTTTTAATCTTTTTACTTCCATTTTATTATGAGCAAAACAAAGCAACAGAGTACATCTCAAGGAATTTTAATTGTACAATCTTAGTATTTTCACACCTACATGAAATAGTTTAAAGGCCTCCAAATAATCGCATCTTTTGTAATAGTGTGTTCCAATACCCATTCACTAATTTTCTCTATTAATCTTAAACAGTAAAGTACATGGTAATAATCAGGTTAATAGAGGAGAAAAATTACCAGTTTGAAACAAACCATATGTCTGCGTAGTAACTTAAGTGTAGTTTTATTCTTATGCTTTTTTTTATTGAAAAGCACTCCCCTTTGTTTAAAAAAAAAAATTGAGTTTTTAAAGAACTATATTTTTCTGAATTGTATTAGTTGATTCTCCCAACACTTTACAACTATTTTACAAAAAAAAAAAAAAAAAAAAAAAAAAAAAAAAACAGAAGCAAAACAAAAACAGAAAGTGTTTGGTTAGAGCCTGAGCAGCTAACTTGTAAGTGATCAGACTTGGATTTGAGCCTACAGCACCTGCTTAGCATGTGCTACATTTGCCAAGCACATGGGACGCAGTTAAATAAGGTCCATTTCTCTCCTGACTCACTGGTTGTACTATGCTTGGTGTACTGTGTGAACATGCTTACCTGCCCTTAAAATACCAAAGGCTGGAAAGCTTAAACAACAGAAATTTGTTTCTCACAGTTCTGGAGGCAAGAGGGCAAGATAGAATTAGTTCCAGCTGGTTCTGTTTCTGATAAAGTCTCCCTCCTCCCCTCCTGCCCTCCTGTCCTTAAAACAGCCCCCTTCTCACTCTGTCTTGAGATATCCCACAGCCTTTCCTATGTACCCAGGGGCAGCTGAAAACAAGCTCTCTGGTGCCTGTCTTTTTCACTGCTTCTTGAGACAAAATCTCACTGTGAAGCCCAAGCTGGCCTCAGTCACTTAACACAACTGCCTTAGCCTCCTGAGTACTGGGATTCTAAGTGTATACCACCGTACCAGCTTCATGTGTCCTTTCTTATTTTATTAAGATGTATTTTACTTTTAATTATGGGTATGTGTCTCTGTGGGTATGTACACATGCATGTTGGTACCTACAGTGACCAGAGGTGTCAAATTCCAGTGAGCTAGAGTTACAGTCAGTTGTGGGCCTCTTGGCGTGAGTGCCTGGAACAAACTTGGGTCATCTGCAAGAAGCAGTGTGCATCTTAGCTGCTGATTTGTCTCTCTAACCTTTAATGTGTCTCTTCTCATAAAGGGCTTCACTCTCTCACAGACCCAATCTCCAAGTACCTTGGGAATTAAGGCCAACATATGAATTTAGAGAGGCAGGCTCCAGGGCTTTCTGAGTCAAGGCTGGGATTCTGAAGGCTTTGACTGCTGTAGATGTATGAGGTCTCTGAAAATCAAAGTGTTAGAAGTTATACATTTTGCTCACGTCTTGGAATCCTATCATTTAATCTGTCTAGAGTATTTCTAGAGCATACATTCTTATTTCTAGCAGCTTATGTCATTTATGTAGATTAGCCCAACATTTTAATCATACATCCTTATAGACAGACTGTCTTAATAGATGGTTAAGGGGTTTAGATGTGTAAGTTCTCCATCGTTCTTTCACGAAGGATGACAATGAAATACACTAAAGGGGAACACTTATCTGGGTTCTCTTGCTGTCAAGGCCCTGGGTAAATTAGCATGGGTACTGTCCTGGTTAGTTTTTTGTCAACTTGACCCAAGGTCAAGTCATTTGGTAAGAGGGAACCTCAGTTGAGAAATGCATGTACTAGATTGACCTGTGGAACATTTCCTTATTAATGATTGATGGACAAGGGCCCAGCTCACTGGAGGTGGTCCCACCCCTGGGCAAGTGATCCTGGATGTTAGAAGAAAGAAGGCTGAGTACACCGTGGGAGCAACCAGCAAGCAACATTCCACTGTGGCTTCTGCTTCAGTTCCTGCCTTCAGGTTCCTGCCTTGGCTTACCTCAGTGGACTATGCCCTAGGATGTATAAGCCAAATAAGTCATTTCCTCCCCCAAGTTACCTTTGGTCATGTTGTTTTATCACTGCAATAGAAATCCTAGCTAAGCATGATGGTCAGCTGCTTCAGGAAACCTACTCGTGGCCAAAGGTGCTCACCTATGTTAACCCTGAGCCACCCCATGGGCTTTCTTACAGATTCTCCAGCCTCTATGTGTTGTTTTCTAACTGTCCCCAGATGAAAAGTCAGAGCAGTGAATCCAACCATTGTTTTATATCTGGAAGAGACTTTATTCAGACATAGTTCCTCTTTTGGCTTAGATGCTAAGTTTATACAGCGACAATGTAAGATTAGAAATTCCCGGAGCTGGCTGGTCTGACTAACTCAGGAAAAGGTGACTTCTGTGCCGAGGGAATTAAGAACCTTGCTGATATTGCTTACACCAACAGGAGGTGGGAAATGCACTTGACAAAAGCTGCACATGAAAGGTGCTCAGTAGATAATTGCTTTAAAAGGTCTTGAGAGCCTTAGCAAGCTGACACAGAGCAGTTCAGGAGTCTAGAAAGATAGTTGCTGGCCATACTTTCCTGTCAGAAGAAAGTTAAATACAAAGGAGACAGGTATCTGGCCCGAGTCAGGAAGAGAATGACAGTTGCTGACCAGATTTCAGATTTCCCTTTTCTGTGCCATGGGAGGATTGATGTGGTCTAGGGAGAACACAGCTTCTGTGTATCAGCTACTTTACCAGCATGAAGTCTCTCACTCTAGATGCTTGTAGAATCATCTCCTCCAAGAAAACAAAGCTCTGAGTCACCCTACTCCCTCACCAAAAAGAGCCTTGCAATGCCTTCTGCAACTGCCGTAAGAAGAAAGTCTCCTGTGCCTGGCATAGGGCAGTCCCATGTCACTTCTCACATATGAGTTGCCTCTGCTCCAGTGGAAACAATAGCTCTACCCAGTGTGTTCCAATTGAAAGAACCACAGAGAACTGACTCCTTGGCTGGCTGCTCCTGAGCAGCTATTCATAGGAGAAAGCAGATTGATTACCACAGGGGAATAGTTAAAGTAATGAGGTAAATAATTGCCTGCTCTTTGGGGCTTTTACCAGCCAGAACTTGAAACCACAACTCTCCTTTGTGTGCTGTTTTGCTAGCCATTAGGTGGTTTGCTTGGCAACTGTGTGGGAAGGCAGTGTGCTCATTCAGAATCTGTGCCGAGCTCTCCCAATGGGACGGGCACCATAGATGTTGTGTGAACTGCTGGTGGGTGAGGATTCTGTGCACTGCGGCTTATTAACCACTGCTGGAATTTTGAGCTGTGAGTCATTTGTCTTCTATAATGGAAGGTTTTGACTGTTTGCCATTTGAATTTTTTTTTCAGTCCTTTTTGCGATATCTACCCACAACAAATTCTTCCTTTCCATTCCTCAGGCACATTAAAACCAATTCAAAAACAAAGTATCAATAGGTCAGTACTTAAGTTATGAACATAAAAGTGGTTGGGAATTAGAACAGCACTGACTGTTCTCTCTACTGTTCTCTCTCAGCTATGAGACATTTGCTGTAGAAGTGAAAAGCAGCTCATCTTCCTCTCCGGTTACCCTTATTTAAATAAAAACTGATAAGCCTCGAGCCAGCTCGTCCTGTGCATCTGTAAACCACTGGAAAAGGTGGTTATTGTAACAGAGATGACTCAGAGTAGCCTGGGTGCTGGTGCCAGTTTGGGCCCTCATGGGCTTGTCTTTGAGCACTGCAGTTGACTAACCTTCATTTCTGATGCCAGTACTGCCGATGGGAGTAAATGCATACACCTTAATAGTTTATTAAGTCTTGGCCTATTTCTCTGCTGTGGGTACTCCTCAGCAGAGTTTCAGCTGCGCTCCCTCTCACACTGACAGGTAAATGGCTGTCTGCTTGACCCCGTGCCCCCTGTCCTGGTGAGGAAGGGATGCCAGTCACTGCCTAGCAATATGATGGAGACCTCCATCGATGAAGGGTTGGAGACAGAAGGAGAGGCCGAGGAAGACCCCAGTCATGCCTTTGAAGCTTTCCAGGCCACACGGAGTGGGCAGCGACGGCACACTCTGTCAGAAGTGACTAACCAATTGGTTGTGATGCCCGGGGCAGGTATGATATCAGAGGAGCACCAAGTTAAACCCTTACAGCATTGTTTCATACTTCAGGCATCAAGAAACAGTGACCGTAGCCCCTTCCCTTATGGAGCAGGTGCCATGGACTGTGTGAATTAGGTCTCCTCAGCAGCTGACAGAGATTAGAAATCAGTGTCTCCGAGTTGACTTCCTCCTCTCCAGGTTTCCTTGGATACAGTGTGCTTCATAAGGGATTGTGGCTGTCTTTGAGGACAAGATCTTATGGCTATAGCTCCCATGGGGTTTTCCTCACCAAACTTGAAGATGGTTAAACTAACCAGTAAAAGCATCTGGAAAGCTGGAGGATTGTTTGTGGTGCTGGAGACTGACTGCAGCAGGTCTCAAGCATGTTAGGCAGCTCTTCTGCCCCTGAATTACACTTAGGGTCCCCAGCCCTGAAAGAACTTTTCTTTTAGGTTAATTGTCTGTTTTCCAGACTCATGAGGAGTACTCCAGTCCTCTTGCCCATCCTGAAAGATTGTGGCTGTCAAGACTATAGAGTCTGCCATTTTGTCTTGCTTTTTGTCAGTGTGTTTAAAGAAGACGCTATTGGTGTGGGTAATATCTTTTTTTTTTTTCCTACAGGGAAAATTTTCTCTATGAGTGACAACCCCTCCCTTGACAGTGTAGACTCTGAGTATGATATGGGGTCTGCCCAGAGGGACCTGAACTTTCTGGAAGACAGCCCTTCCCTGAAGGACCTCATGTTAGCTAATCAGCCTTCACCCCGCATGACATCCCCTTTCATAAGCCTCAGACCTACCAACCCAGCCATGCAGGCTCTGAGCTCACAGAAACGTGAGGTCCACAATCGGTCCCCTGTGAGCTTCCGAGAAGGACGAAGAGCGTCAGACACTTCCCTTACCCAAGGTATGTGCTTTTCTTTCTGGCTCTGAAAACTTCAATCAGAGGTATGAAAGAAGGTTGTTGTCTTGCTGATGGGTATATATAACTAAAAGGCCTATTTTGCTTCTTAAACTCTTTGTACTTTGTAGGAATTGTAGCATTTAGACAACATCTTCAGAATCTTGCTAGAACCAAAGGAATTCTGGAGTTGAACAAAGTACAATTACTCTATGAACAAATAGGATCAGAGGCAGACTCTAACTTAACATCAACTGCTCCTCAGCTCCAAGACCTCTCGAGCAGCTGCCCTCAGGTGAGTGTACAGGCTCTTCTAAACACCACATTTGTCCTACAGATGTGTGGTTTTCAGTTAGAGAGCTTCCTCCTACTCTTAAGCTAGCTTTATGGGAAAGCCCAGGTCTCAGAGTTTTCTTGATGCTGTCACTAACAGCTTAAACCCAGCCATACTGTTCCCAGATGCTTAGCACCAGATAGAGGCCTTCAGGCTCAGTGTAGTTCACAAAGCAGGCAGATTATATATGGATGACTCGGTCTCCCTTGGCCACACGCACACATGCACTCATGCACGCACACACTCATACACACATGATGATGGTGAGCATCATCCAAATGAGAAGCTTCTTGCCACTACCTTTGATGTGAACTCGCTATTAAATATGAAGATTAATCACATTAAAAAATATAATAAAAGTTGCTATTTCTTGAGCCAGTGTTCAGTGCATCATATTCTGGGCACACATTATAGGTAAGCACTTTCTTGTGATACCAGGCAGGTGCTTTTGTTCTAGTACTGACTAGGTAATAGTTGAGTTATTAGCTCTGTATACATTCTCTGAAAGCAGCATTCAACCTACTATTAGTTAGATAAAAGCTTTGGGGTATTAGGTCATATGAAGCCCTGTTTCTACTCACTCATTTGCAAAGGTGCTTAACTATGAATTGAAACTTTCTCACATAGAAATTAAAATCTCCATTGCCTTGCTCCTTAGGAGGAAGTCTCTCAGCAGCAAGAAAGTGTCTCCACGCTCGCGGCCAGCATGCATCCTCAACTTCCTCCACAACAGAGCTTGGAAACCCAGTACCTACAGCATCGACTCCAGGTGGGTTCCTTAGCACTCTTAGTCTAGCTCACTTTGCCACAGAAACCCATTTTGCATTACTTAAGGTAGCTGCTTTATTCCTTGTAGGCAGGTAGATTTAACCCTACATTAGTAGTTTCTAGAATCAAGTTCAGACTTAGCTTTATGCCCTCTGATAGCAGTAGGAAAGGATATGCCAAGTGCTGGGAAAGAGAGAAGAGAGACCTGGCTTGTTCTAATTTTATAATTATGAATAATAAGATAATATCTCTAATATATAAAAGACTGTTTGTATTGGTGCATGAAGATCCTAAGAAACGATACGGCATAGATCCCATTCAGAATGAGTCACTGAGCAGGCACTGGGGCTTCCTGTCAAGAAATGTCTGATTTTCTCATTGTCTTCCATGAACCTCCCCGTCCTGGAGGAATTTAGAAGTGGAAAATATGTCAGCCAGAACTAAATGCCAAAGCCTGCTGACCTTATGCTCTTCCAGTGTCATAGTGAACAAGTGTTGGTGCCTTCTCTCTGGATTCTGGAGGCCACATGTGACTATATTGTCCAGACAGGCATCCAAAGGGTACACCTGAGCTGCATCCAACTGACAGCATATATATGCTCAGGCTCTTGTTGTTTTTCTGATCTTCCAGAAGCCTAATCTTCTGCCAAAGGCCCAGAATACTTGTCCAATATATTGTAAAGAACCACCTCGGAGCCTGGAACAGCAGCTGCAGGAACATAGGTAAGGAAGTCTTTGGCCAGTAGAGTTAGTTATTTTCTTGGCAGCCTGGAGAATGCTGGTGTGTTGTCTTTTTCCATTCTAGTTGCTGCTCCTAGGGCCATGCACTAGTACGTGGCCATTTTCTGTTTGGGCATGGTGTTAATGAGGTTGTTGAATCCTAGCATATAAGCCTGTCACAACAGCAGTCCCCTATGCACTCTGTCATTTCTTTGTATTTCTCTGGGATATGGTCAGCCCTAAGATTTCAGAAGCAGTCGTTTACACTGATGAGGCTTTCTCCTTGGTGGTTCATGCCTGCTTGTCCCAAGAAGCTGCTTGGCCAAGGTAAAATTGCCCTAATCATCACCTACCTAGACACTCACAGAAGCCAAGATGTTGCCTTTTTCAGAGCAATCTTCGTGAGTAATTAAGCCTCTCTAGAGGGAGAGACTTGAGAGACAATGTGTCAGTGCTCACAGGGGTCAGTCAAATAGGGGCTAAATCCACACAGGTGAATTTACAGATTTTATTTGGGTGTCAGGTGTGCGGGTGCATGCCTGGAATCCCTAGGTCAGAAAGATCACAAACTTGAAACCAGCCTGGGCTGTAAAGAAGGTTCTCAGAAACAAAACAGAAAAGAAAGGGAAAGTGAAGGTAATGCCAGGTATTGAATTTACATTGAAATCACATTCCCTTGAGATGTAAAATGCTCTTTTGGTGTTGACAATTTAGGCTCCAACAGAAGCGACTCTTCCTGCAGAAGCAGTCTCAGCTGCAAGCATATTTTAATCAGATGCAGATAGCAGAGAACTCCTACCCTCGACCAAGTCAGCAGCTGGCTCTTCCCCACCAGGAGACTCCACCGCCATCCCAGCAGTCCCCACCATTCAGCCTGACCCAGCCCCTGAGCCCGGTCCTCGAGCCCTCTTCTGAGCAGATGCAATTTAGCCCTTTCCTCAGGCAATACCCGGAAATGCAGTTGCAGCCCCTGCCCTCCACACCCAGCCCCCGAGCTCCACATCCCTTACCCTCACAATTGCAGCAGCCACCCCCTCCATCTCCTCCTCCTCCACCTCAGCAGCCAGGAGCTGCTCCAGCCCCCTTACAGTTCTCCTATCAGACTTGTGAGCTGCCAAGCACCACCTCCTCTGCACCAGACTATCCTGCTCCCTGTCACTATCCCGTGGATGGAGCCCAGCAGAGCAACCTCACAGGCGCGGACTGTTCCAGGAGCTCAGGGCTTCAGGAGGCCCCATCTAGCTATGACCCGCTGGCCCTCTCTGAGCTCCCTGGACTCTTTGATTGTGAAATGCTAGAAGCTGTGGATCCACAACACAATGGGTATGTCCTAGTGAATTAATCTCAGCTCAGGAAGTAAGGTGGCTCTAGTGAAGGCAGACTTCACTTTTTCTATTTTTATTCCAACCCTTTAAACTTAAAGCTTAGTTTTTCCCTAATGGGGAAAAATCACGTTTCCCAACCAGAATCAGGGTTTGACTGGGGTAGATGTTCCTCCCGGCTCTGTTCCACCACAAAATTTTCTGTGGCAAGGGCTAGAACATAGTTGGAGGCTGAAGCCAGTGCCCTTAATTGAGTGGAACCAGCTCAGCTCTCAAGGGGGTACCAACAAACATTTGTATGACAACATATAGACCTAGGTTTTACACCAGTTCTTTTCCAAGGAAAACCTTGGCTAAAAGCAGGGAAAATGTGTTGCATATATACACCTAAGGAAAAAGGAAGGGCAGTATATTTCACTAAAGCCAAATAAGAGCAAAGTGCCTCAAGGCATATCAAGACTACATGGAGAAATCTGATGCACAGAGAAGAGAGGGAAGTTATGAGGGAAGTTATGGGTTGTCACAAAGTTGTAAGTTCTTGGCTGTTGATACAGGGTGTCCTCAAGACCATCAACAGTAGTAGAGCCTAAGGAATGTTTCAGAGACACTAAGTAGCAGCTGGTACTGACCCTTTGAAACCTGCAGTCATCTGGGAGCATGTGATAACGCCTTTTCAAAAGTGCCCCTGGGTGGCCCAGTGTTATAGGGTTCCAGAGTTCTCACCTGTAGAGACAACTGGAGACCTGTCACAGTAGAGGCTGAAGCAGAAACCAGAAAGCTTTGGGAACTTGGGCTTATCTAAGCTGGGAAGCCAGAGGCTCTTCCTACACAACCTCCAGTCTCCAGAGACCTCTTGTCTGCTACACTGTAGTAATCCCTCTGGCTCTCCACTCTATTGTTAGGAGCTTGTGGAGCTTTGCATAGTTGGACAATTTCGTGTAGGGTTTAGATTTTTCAGGATACACAACATGTATGTCCTATGTGAGTGAGTGGCAGTGCTGTCTTCCCCAAACTTCATCAAACTTTCTTTTCTATAGAGACCACGGTTTCCATTTATGTCCTTACTAAATCCAAAGTCACTTCAGTCTGTTTTCCACCATGTGGGAATCAGAATTCTTAATTTCCTTAAGGTTTTGATTTGTATGAAATATTCAAGTATTATAGCAATATTCAAAGAACCACAGATATGCTAGCCATCTTAACCCTTTAATTCACTCCTCAGAGGAAATGAAAATTCGATGCTATAGCTAGTCAGCTAGATAGTGAGAAGTAATTAGTATTCTGTCATTTGCGCAGTGACATCCAGGTGTTACAAACTCAGTATTATGTGTAAAAATTATAATTTCTATTCTTTAGAGTGGCTTGTCCTATCAGCAGATGAATGCACTAAGCACAAAGCGTCTTCCTTAAAGCACAAGAAGAGAGCTACTACACTGATGCTGCATCTAGAAACACCTATAAGTTGCCTTTCCTCTCTGTAGTAAGTGTCCAGGCAGGCGAGGGAAGACTAGGCATGGGAAGTCTACGGAGAGCCATCCTGGCCACCAGCCCAGCCCCTGCCAGTGCTGGTGATTCGAGTGAGCTAGCATCTTTGAGGCTGGCCAGAGACTGTAGTTATTGGGCCCCAACTGGTGCCAGGCTGCTTTGCAAATGCGCTCTGCTTGGAATTGGGCTGTGGGTATCAGCAGGAATGGATATCAGGAGGGACTGTCATTTTGTGATTGAATAACTGAAAATCCAGTAAGGATAAATTGTGTTTCTTTTATTGATTCTGTTCCTCCTCTTGCTTAAGATCGATGATTTTGTAAGATAAAGGACATCATTGCATTTGAGAGATCATTTCATTAAGATCTCTAACATGTCTTAACGCTTTGCAAAATAAGCCAGCTATAAAATGGGGCTTGATCTGTTTAGATTGGAGGAGGATGTTTTCCCAAAATATACTGCAGAAGCGCTATAATAGTGACGGAATGAAAATGCCTTCCAGATTGAAAATGGGGGCCGCTCATTTCAGGACTGCAGGAACAGCACCGCTACAGATTGGCATAAACCCCTGCCCCCCAACAGGGCTGTGAGCTGCTTAGCCCAGGAGACCTAGCAGCTATGGCAGGACAGTTAGGCGACAGATGAGGGGCTGCGGAGAGGCTGTCAGAAGGTTAAAGGCTGCAGAGAGAAGCCGGGAGCACCCATCAACAGCCAGCCTGCTAGGCACTGACACACAGAGCGGAGGTGAGGACAGTCGCCTGGTGAAGAATACCATCATGCTGGATCCTGTCGTAAGCTCCCGTTTGCTCCTCTCACTCCTTCCAAATAGAAATCCCTAATTCCGTGGCTATCTTTACTTCCTGAGATGGAAGCTGGTGAGCACAGATGGGCTGTGGTGGTCAGCTCACCTGATTACTTCTGTTGCTGTCTCCTAACTAGTGACCATGGAAGCTTCCAAGCCATTTCTCCTCCCAAGTACTAAAGTAACACTAAGACGGCTCAGGCGCACTCATGCTGTGAGGCAGCTCTGAAATACTGACATGCTCGCCTGTCAGTTCACATCAGCAGTGTGTACACTACTGTATAGTAACCCTTGGCTTTGTTATCTTGTAAACCAGCCTCTTCAAAGAGACTGATGATTCAAACATGAGGGAAATTTTTTCATTCGGCAAAAAGTGCAATATGTGTGGTACTTTTTTATTTTTGTTTATGGTCTCTTGTTATCCAGGTATCACTCTCTGCTCTGGGGGAAATAGATTAGTTCTGCAGTCTCGAGTTGGACAAGTGTGTCTCTAGTATTTACATGCAACTGGCATGCTGGTCCCTGTAAGGCAAATAGAGGGTGTTAATGCAACAGGAAGATACCAGGTTGTGGGCTCCTACTCCTCTATTCCCAGGGAGCTGCCTGACCCGTGCCAGCCCTCACCCTGCCCTGACCTGGCCTGCCTGGGAACCTGCCACCTTGGGAACAAACCCTCCAGAATCTACCCAATGGGAGACAATGAGGACCCAGGAAGAGCCTTTGGAACTGATGTGAGGCATGAGAGGTGGCCTGAGCAAAGCCTTTTGCTTTGTGTCCTAGGAAAAGGAAAGCCAGGATCCCATCAGCCTGTGATGATGCACGCCTTTAATCCCAGCTCTCGGGAGGCAGCAACATTAGAAAGCCAGGGTCCCTCTATCTCAGAAATCAAGATCAGAAGTGTTTAAATCCTGTCCTGGTGTCAGGGTGGTAGGACTTCAGCCTTTTCCTGCCACACCCGGTCCTAACTTGTATAATTGAGTCTTCACTGTTCTAGGGCCCGTACCCCATACCCCCCCCCACAGTCAACCCAACCTGTGGAGTGACACCCTCTGCCCTACCCTGGAACTCCAATAACTAGGATACTCAGCAAGGATTCATCATAGGCCTCTCTACCTCTACCCCAGGAGCCATTATACCTAAGGCAGGGATACTAAGACTGGGAAAAGGACTGTGTTCTCAGCTGGAAAGTGACACAGTGATGAGTCACAAACTGAAGGAACCCAAAATGACCAGCTGATCAAAGGCCCCAGGTGCAGCAGCAGTTCAAGACATGGAGACTCAGTAGGCTCGCCTTTCTCTGTGGGGTACTCTAGCCTCTAAAGAAGCCCACTTACATATATGAGGACCAGTCTCTCTGCTGTTAGACTTTTACACTCACATCAGTAGTGGCTTAGGCTCTCTACTGGTTTAAAGAAAATTCACTCAAGTGACTTTTTCACATTCCTCCTCCTTTAGAGACAATATGTAGTGTCATTTGATGACACTGATCCCACTGGGCAGTTGCAGAGTCCCTGTGCCAGGGCTGACCTTTGCTGCATTTGTACCCCTAAGCTGGGCTGCCTCTACTGCCTCCTCGGAAGCCACCCGAGCCGTTCGGTCTCTCTGTGCCTAGACATCAAAGGTAAAAACTGGAGAACAGGTAGTAAGTTGGAGTCATTGCTCAGGCAGGGATCTTTATCATTTTGTTGCTTCTGGAAATTTTTTTACAGAGCTTACCTTCATAGTGATTTGTGGGAGACAAGAACAGTATCATCATCAGCCTGTTTCAACACTGGACAAAAACACACTTCAGTACTTACACACACACACACACACACACACACACACACACACACACACACACTCTCCCTGGCTGGGGTCCCAGAGAAGTGAGAGCCTTTGCCACCTGCCCTTGGTAGCAAATGGAATGAGGCAGTGACCCTTAAAGGGTCCTTTTGACCCTTAAGTCTTTGATCTCCCAATATCTTCCCACTTATTTGTTTAGCCATTTTTACCCAGTTACAATTACCTAGTTGATTCTAGAAGACTCCCAGCCTTCATAGTTGCAACCACATCTTATGTCTACATTATATCTGAGCAGATTTGTGTCATGTGGCATGGGTTGACAGATAGGGATACTGCACCATAGCTTAACCAAGGGTATTCTTGCAGGGCCTGCCCTCTCAGCTCGCCCATCCATGTTCACGGCAGCACACCAAGCACTTTCACAAGCGCTCTCCCAATTCTATGTGAAGTTAGTGAGAGATAACCCCCCCATATTTCTTGTAGCTGAGGAGAGCAATACTCTCAAAGGGTACATGACTTAGCTGAGTTCATAGAGCTCAGACAAGCACCTTTGTTGCCTGGCTTTGCTCCTTGTTGGAGCCCTGTCCCACAGCCCCTCCCCTTCAGTAGCACCTCTTTGCATAAGCAGATGGCTATGTAAACAAGGCCCTGCCCAGATGGCTGCACCCTCCACCTGACAGCTGCCTGGCTTTAAGTGCCCACTGCAGTTACCCAGGTGACCTCAGTAAACGAGGAGGGGGAGACAGACACCACAGATTGGCCTTCTTACTGTCCAATAAATCAAAGAAATTTAGGCTTAAATTAAGGAGGTTTGTTTATTAAATGTAATCCAGTGCTTTTTCAGAATGTATTGGAAGGACACACTCCTCCCTGATTGCCAGAGGGCTTCCTTAGTCAACAGTCAACCCCAGAGAAAATGGATGCCCAGAGAATCGTGAACTCAACCTTTATCCTAAAGGGATAGTGTGTAGAACATATTTCTCTTTTCCATTCCTTTTTTTTTTTTTTTTTTTTTTTTCTCGTTTCTTTCCTTCATTTCTTTCTTCCTTCCTTTCTTTTTTTAAATGGTCTGAAACAGAGTGTCACTATGTAGCTCTGACTGTCCTAGAATGTCCTGGTTTACTATGTAGACCATGCTGGCCTGGAACTCACAGAGATCAGCCTGCCTCTGCCTCCAAATGTTGGAATTCAAGGTATGTGTCTCTACCACCCAGGACATTTCTTTACAATTAAGTCCTAACAATTAAGGCTCTATAAAACACTTTCAGGACTACAAAATGGTAATGTGCTTTGATGATAGAATGCTAGGTCTTTTCAGAACCAAAATGGGTGAATAAAGGTAGTTTTAAAAATAGAAATACAAACATCCTGGTGGATAGCGTAATGTTACATTGCCAAGTGCAGATGACTGACACCTGCATGCCCAAGATTTGCTCAGTCAAGAAAATCCAAGTGGTTAAACATCCCCACTACCCGTGGTTTTTGTTTTGGTTTGTTTGGTTTGGTTTGGTTTAGTTTTAATGCCTCTACCAGAATCTGGGAAGGAGAAAGCAGCAGAAAAAAGGATGTTGGCTTGGCTTTGGGGACTGCAGTGTTTAAGAAGGGAAAGTGGTAGAGATTACTTGCACTTTGTAGAAAGGCAAGGCCATTTGCTTATTGCAGAAAGGGAGGGAGTGGTCTTGCTGGATTCAGCTTGGTCTGTGAGTTATTTTAGATAAACTTAACCTGATTGTAGTTAATTTTTTTTTCTGTGTGCTTTTTAATTACTAAGAAAAAAATTGGTGACTTTGATAGCTTTGGTATTTTGAGTGCAAATCCTAATAGCTCCACTGTGGAAAATCAAAGTGTAACCTGCCACTCAGTGTTAGAAAATTGCCTAAAATGCAGTTTAATAAATGATCTTTGTACCAAATGGTAATTTAGATGGAGTAATTTTCTGCAAGGAAAATGTACTGTCTTTATGTTTCCAACCCTCCTGAATTAAAATAAAAACACCTTGTTTTCTAAAACCCTGGTGATGTGAATGTCAGGCTAATGAGATTATAGGCAGGTCTCCACCTCACTGAGTACTGGGGAGTTTTCAAACTGTAGAAGGTAGCTGTGTTCTCTGAGCTCTGGTGCTCATTTCAGGCTACAGAAAGGACAGTGGATAATATGTTCTCATTGACGTCAGCAGGGTAAATAATACCTCCCCCTGAATTGCCTGAGTACACGTTAGCCACTACAGATCACTGATGGAAACACTGCTAACCACAGCCTGCATACAGACCGGGCCCCACTGGGCCTGGGTAGTGCTCCTTGATGCAGGTAGTCTGCACCAGGGCCTCTGCCACAGGAAGAAGAACAAAGACGAGCTCCCATGCTCTTGACAGCTCCCCCAGGACAAGCAATATAGAGGGTAGGAAGTGAGGTACTCTAAACTGCCAGGAAGGCCAGCAAAGGACGTTGCTGCTTAGTGACAGTCACCCCCCAACACACACACCATGGACTTCTGTCAGGGATAGACATCCTTTAAGATACAACCCTTTGCCCTCAGGGTTTTAGAGCATTCCTTTGCCAAGCTGCTTTCGTATGTTCTAGACTTGAGGGGAGGACAGGATTAAATCCTGTTCTCTGGCAGTGCGTGCAGCTGAGATTTGGTTTCCATTACTTAAACCATTCCCCTGGGCCAATATTATATAGAACTGAAACAGATCTAAAACTCAGGCAAGCCTGGTGGCTGTGAGTGTGTGTACTGGGCCTGGAGCACAGACCCCTCACTGTGCATGTGCACAGCTCTTCCCCTTGGAAGAGAACTCAATACAAGTTTCTATTTTTTCTTTTTTTCACTCAGTAACTGTTTTGCAAATTTTACCCTTGCCTGTTGAATCACTCTGTCATTGTAATGTTGTCATAGGCAACCACCCAGGCCTCCCCTAAGTCTAAGGACACCCTTCACTTCCATGGCAAGCATAAGGGCCCAATGAAGAACAGCAAAGAATGGGCCATAGAGGCCAGAGCACTACCCTGTGGCCTCTGCTTGGCCAGCTCAGGGACACAACAGACCAGCAGTAATCACATTTCTAAAACCACCAGTCAGCCCGTGGCCAGGTACGAATAAACCGGCTTCGTTCTTGGGAGCTGCCCTCTTTCTTCCCTGGTCCTTTGATGTCAGAGAAATCTTTGGACTCTTCCCAAAATAACTAGAGACACTCAGTCTCTAGGAGGATGCTGGATGGAGGATCAGAGGTTCACCCTGGAGATGGGAAAACCCCTTACTCCCACGGTGACATGCTGGCCTGAGGGGTGCTCGTGCCTGCAAGTGGGTTCAGGAAAGAGGAGCCCCAGCTCAGCCTGCAGTTCTCAGGGGCAAGGCTGGGCTTTGTGAACTGAAGTTACTTTTCAGTGTTGCTGTGATTATCCAGCTTTTTCAGTGTATGAAATAATGGCTTCCATTATGACGCCTTCACACCTACACATCCATTTCTTTGCTCATATTTCCCCTATTCCCCCTCTTGCCATCCCTCCCATAATGTATGGCCCACTTCATGAACTTGCATGTCATCCTTGTGCAGGGGCCATGATAGTCTCCCTGTTCTGTTCCAGTGTTATCAGTGTGCCCCGTGACCACATAGGGTCTCACACACCATAGTTGCTCCACTTGGGCTCATCAAAGCGTGGCTCTACCCTTTCAATTTGGCTCTGGCCACGAATGTCAACGGCTGAACAGCTCTTGAGCAAATGGAATACTGTACATACATTACTTCAGGCAATATCCAGTAGGAGGAAATAGATGTGAGTCTTGAATGGAGTGGATGGACCTTCACCTCAGACATGGGGCTGCCATCAGTGACACACCTGTCACCTTCCAGGCACAAAGCTTGGGACCACAAATCAATGAGGTCAGACAGTGTCCTGAGGAGTCTGCTCAACTCTGCATCTGTAGTTACAGTCAGATTACAGTTACAGTTACTGCTCCCTCCCTGTATTTGTGCAGTTCTGGGCTTTCCCAGGATTGCTGGACTGCTTGGCAATCAGGGTAAACACACACACACTTAAGTGGAGGAGCAACGAGTCTGCAGAGAAGTGCACTCCCTGGAGACAAGCCCCTAACGCTGGCTGGGCTGATCATTCAGAAAATTCAAAGCCCAGAGAAAATGAGGCAGTTGGGTGTCTTGATGAGCTGAGTCACTCCCTCCACAGATAGGCTTCAAAAGTTCCATATTCTGTTTTCCTCCTCATTCCCCACAGATGGGATAATGAAGCCTGAGTTGCCTAGGAGAGGGCCTGAATGAGAACTCTGACCCCAAGGCTGCCCACCAAGCTGATGGAATAGGATACAACTGAACTAAGAAGATGACAAAGCCTTTCCACAAAATATACCATGCAAGGGACCCAGTTCACGGTCTTGCCTGTGTCTAGCCAGAGACCCACTGTAACTACCTTAGGTCACTGCAGAAACCCACAAGCTTAGTCATCAAAATGAGGGCCAAAGGACAGGCAAGCAGTTGGAAGGGTCCCAGGAAGTGAAGGGCCAGTATAGAGCAAGGCTTGGGAAAATGGGCTGGCTACCCAGTCCCACCTAGGGGGTAACCAGACAGGCACTGCAGACAGGTGGTACCACCCCTTAGTGCCAGAGACAGCATAGGAGCAGCAAAAATAACTGGACTGAGTCTTTAGCTCCCAGGCCTGCCACTAACTTAAAACAAATTACTAAAGGCTTTGTCCCCAACTTTGATGGGAACATAGCCAGACTGCACTGTCCTCTAATACTAAAACATTAAGGGTCTACCAACTGCCCTTGACAGTTTGTCACAATGCTACTCTGTGTTGCTTTAACTAGTCTGCAAGACACTGCGGTAGGAAATGGTGAAACATTTGCCTGGGAATTCTCTCCTCACAGAAAGGTGATTAACAGTTCTGACGACTTAGCCCTGGGATTTTGGTATTTTTGTTAATGAGTTCTGAGCAGCACTGATCATACTTGACAATGTAAGACTGTCCCAGAGAATCTGATGGTTCACCTCCACTGTCAACATGACTGGGTTTCTTTCCTACCACCTAAGAGACATTCTGGGTCTATCTGTGAGGACATTTCCAGAAATGTTTAACTCTAGAGGGAAGAACCATCCTGAATGTGGGTGACCATACCATAGGCTGGTGTCTTGGACTGAAAAAAAGGAGAAAAGAGGAAGCCAGCAGGCTGTCAGCATTCATCTGACCTGACTGCACACACCATGTGACAGGCTGCCATGCCTTGTCTCCTCAAGCTGTGAGCCAATCTAAACCCTTAGGTTGCTTTGTTCCATTCAGGTTGTTTTGTCACAGTAGCAAAAGTCAATAACACAAAAGGCTGCCTAGATGGGCAGCCTTTTCCTCCCCAACTTTGAAGTTAATTAAACTCATGGGTGGAGAAGGTTAGAAGGCCTGGGGGAGTCTTTCTCTTCACAGACAGCTCCTCAGTCCTCAGGGAGTCTCAGGAAACAGAGCCTAGGAACCTGCTCCATCTGGCCTGTGACTTATCCTTTCCCTTCTATCCTTACTTCTGCCCTGTTAGTAGTTGGTGGAATCCAGTTCCCTTAGCTGGAAGGCTCTAGGGGTGATCAAACATTCCTGGGCTTTCTTGTCCTGACTAAACGTGGGCCCAGTCTTTCTGGGTTCAAGACTAATTAATCCTTTGGCCAAGAAGCTGGGCTCCTCAGAGTTGCTCTTAATCCCCAGGTAGCCATATGCCCCACAGTCTGAGGAATACACCAGCTGCCTAGCAGAACAGCCTCATCTCAGGCCAGCCAGAACATCCCAGGTCACCAGCAAGTTGCTGGCTTAGATCCCAGAAGAGACAAATGCCAGGACAAACCAGTGGGAGAAATAGGCGAAACACCAGTAAAAACCAGCAGTAGAAGCAAGGGTAGGGGGAGCCAGGGTCAGGGAAGATGAGCTCTTAGCTGAGGTGCAGTGCAGGGACTGGGTCTGGTCAGTGTCTACGCAGAACAGACTGTCCAGGCAGAGGGAAAGGGAAGAGGAGGGTGGATTGTCAGCCCACTGTCTGCACCCATTATTTATGGACATTTCACTTGATTTGAGTCTCCAGACCTGGGCTCAGTGAGGAGACTGAATGTCCCTCACAGCTGCTCCCTCCTGCAACAACAAAACTGACATCACTGTTGTCAGGGAAATGGTGTTTTGATTAAAATCATGTGACAGCTACTTCATGACTCAATAAACAAATCTGCTGTTAACCCTTGCCTGACATGCTCACCAGCAGCTGTGGTCAGAGAGCAACCTCTGCCCCCAGGGGGGACGGGGGGGGGGGGGAGTGACTATGCCGATCTGGAGGTAGCAGAGTATGAGAAGTGGTCCAAGCTGTTCCTTGGCAGGTCCTGCATGAGTGACATGAGTCATCACATACACAAAAGACCATGCAAACTTCAAGAGCCTCTCCATGGCACTGAGGCAACACCCACCCTTCACCAGGAAGAACCCTGGGCTGCTCTCTTGGACCATGCACCAGGCGCAGCTTCCAACATCAGATGACTCCCTTGGGGCTTTGAGGCCAGTCAAGAACTCAGTTCCCAGAGTTCTCCACACCCAGATACTCTCCCTATGAGGACAGATCAGTGAGCTGGCCGTGCAATACAGAAAGGGGTTAAGAACAATTTCTGGTTTGCAACTGGATGACTTCCTGGATCATTCACTTGGCTGTGGGCCTCTGACATGAAAAACTGCCTGGCAACAAGTTCCTTTCTTTCCATTTCACCCACAGGACATTTGCTTTAAGTAAAACAAAAGCAAGGAGGAATCCCCGAGTCACAGAGAAGGGGACTTTTGTGGGTAAAGTGAACCTGCAGCCTCAGAGACTTAGCACAGCTGACTTCTAAGGAAGGTTCCCAGGCACCTGAAATGTGTCCATGGTAAACATGTACTGTGCAGGCATCTGGTCATCCAGGTACTGCAGTAAGAGGCTCAAGGAATGGCAGCTAGTGCTCAGCTGGAAAGCTGCCTTCAGAGAGGACTGAGTCAGCTGTGGCAGGGGTCCCTGGTGTGGTCAGGGCTCAGCTCAGGTACTCTCCATGAGTTCACTGGCAGGACCAAATGGTCCTAAGCATGATGGAAACAACTCCATTACCACATAAGAAGTGTGTGGTGTAGGCCTCTGTGAATCACTGTTCTTAATACCAGAAGCCGGTCTCTTCGCTCAGTGAAGTTCAACAAAGGAGACAAAGCCGCACAGGCACAAAGGGTTAGCAGCTCAGGCAACTGGCAGGACACAGGCTTTGTAAGCAGCAGCCAGCCCACTTTCTCCCACCATGCAGCATGGGAACACCCCTGGGGCTGTCCAAACCAGAGACAGCTGGAAAAGTCAGGCAGGGGACAACAGTGTGCAGGGACACAGAAGGGCACAGAACAGGAAAGACAGCATGGCCTTCATTTACACCAAATGAAAAGTCAGGTGATAGTAAACCTTTTTATCAGTGGGCTAACCACACAAATCCACTGGGGTGAGTGTGAGAGCACCAGCTTCTTCTTGCAGTCAGTGTGGCTAGTCTGACAGCAGTGCTAAGTAGCCCAGGCTCTCCACTCCTAAACATAATTCAAGTCATACCACCCATCTCCCACTGGCCACAGCTGGAACCCTGGTGACTGGTTGAGCTGAAAACTCTGCCTCCCTTCTCCATGTAGTTGTAGGGAACAAAATGAGCTTGTAAAACATCCAGGAAAAAAATCAGGCATGGACTCTTTGTCTTGGATAGACATGACGCCCTACCTAAGTAGAACCATGCCAATAACTTTCCAGCCTGTATGGAAAGTATGCCAGCTCTTCCAGTCTACCCTGTTGTGGTGAGGGCATTGTCTCAGACTGAGGAAGATTCAAAGAACCTCACACAATAGGAATGACTAAGATCTGGACAAGACCACCACTTCACAAAGGCAGCAAAACAGCAGCGCTTTAAAATGCGCTCTCCTATCCGCTGGGAAGACTGCCTGTCCAGGGTTCCTCTGCCCACCTTGCTGTGTGATTCCCTACAACAGCAGCAAGCTCTGCTGATTACCCTCTGCCCAAAAAGGGCAGGGCTCTGGCCCCAAGTTTCAGGGGCACTTACCTTCCCAGTGTCCTCTCCAGGCCCTCGGGATCTCAGGAAGAGATTCTTGTCAACCCCAGGGATGCTGGGCTCTTCACTGTCCTTCACAGGAAAATCTAGCTTCCTCAGCCTTTGTGCCACCACTAAGGATACAGACAGCAACGCTGTGACTGTCCCTGACCAGGGCCTATCCCTCCCAAACCCACCTGTGTTTCCCAGCCAGGATGCCCTCAGCAGCCCTGGCACCATGGTGGCCTACCGGCAGCTGGGCAGAGAAAGCCAGCCCTCTCCAGTACTTTACCTAAGGTGCCTTTCTGCTTAGGTCACCCCGCACACACACACACACACACACACACACACACACACACACACACACACACACACACTGGCTCTAACTGGAGGCTCACACACACACACACACACACACACACACACACACACTGGATCTAACTGGAGGCTCACACATACACACACACACACACACACACACACACACACTGGATCTAACTGGAGGCTCACACACACACACACACACACACACACACACTGGATCTAACTGGAGGCTCACACATACACACACACACACACACATACACACACACACACACACACACACACACACACTGGATCTAACTGGAGGCTCACACATACACACACACACACACACACACACACACACACACTGGATCTAACTGGAGGCTCACACATACACACACACACACACACACACACACACAAGGATCTAACTGGAGGCTCACACACACACACACACACACACACACACACACACTGGATCTAACTGGAGGCTCACACACACACACACACACACACACACACACAGGATCTAACTGGAGGCTCACACACACACACACACACACACACACACACACACACTGGATCTAACTGGAGGCTCACACACACACACACACACACACACACACACACACTGGATCTAACTGGAGGCTCACACACACACACACATACACACACACACACACTGGATCTAACTGGAGGCTCACACATACACACACACACACACACACACACACACTGGATCTAACTGGAGGCTCACACATACACACACACACACACACACACACACTGGATCTAACTGGAGGCTCACACATACACACACACACACACATACACACACACACACACACACTGGATCTAACTGGAGGCTCCCCTACAACGTGGTCATGGGTAGTCTGTAGGGCCCTGGCAAACAAAAGCCCTAGCTCCTTTCAGAACTGATCATAGCAGTTTAAGACGACAACTCCAAAGAAAGAAAGGGCTTGGCTTTTCTTCCCAGTGAGTAATTAAGCTCTCTTCATCCTCCAAAAGATTTCCATCTTAACTGAGCATGACGTCATTTCCTGGAGACAGCAGGCCCATGGAGGCAAATGAGGGACAGCAAGGCTATTCTAGGTACGGAAGGACCGGAGATTTGTGAAAGAACAGGAGGGGCAAGCAGGGCAGTAGCTAGAAGGGGGAGGAAACAGTGAGAAAGGGAGCAACCACATCACCTGTCCCCCAAGAACACAGGATGGCGGGGCCTTCAGTGTGCCTCCCTGACGTCCAGGTGGACAATAAATGACAAAGAACAGCACCAGGGCACGAGGGGGAGGCTAATCACCAGTGCAGTGGGCCCAAGGACTTCTGTAGGGAACACCAGGCTTTTGACTCAGGGACACAGTGTCAGGAAGACACACTGGACATTTAGCGAAACACCTCACAGCCAGGCTGTCTCTTGAATAAGGACAAGCCCTCCAGCAAACACACTCCCCCACCTGTGCCCACATCACCACAGTCAAGCTTGGTATTTCCATGAACTGAAGGTTGTCCTTTATTTTGACAGGGCTTCATTCAAAATCACACGTTAAGCTGTTTATCCTTAGGAAACAAAATCCATCTTTGGGCCCCTATCTCATTAGCAGCACATTAGACACACAAGATCTAATATTTTAAGTTCATGATGGGTAAACCCCAAATAATCTATAAAAGGAAATCACTAAAAGATCCACTATTAATCGGGCACTTTTAATTGACATGGGGGCATGTGTTTCTTTTCGCTTCACTTTCCTAACAAGCTGAACAACTTATAAACTGCCCAGATGTAAAACAGCAGCAATCTATGTTCAAGACGACAAGACAATTCCAAAAGAATGATTCCTCAAGCTGGGCATAATAGCATGCCTTTCATCCCAGCACTGAGGAGGCAGAGGCAGGACCAGCCTGGTCTACATAGAGAGTTCCAGGACAGTCAGGGCTACAGAGACAACCTTGTCTCAAAACAGAATCCCTGGGGCTGGGAACTGGCCTAGACCAGAGGCTCTTGCTTCCTGGGAGCATCTCTAATTGTATGAATTACAGAGTGAGACAGTGTGGTGACTTTGTTCAACACATCAGAGGGCAGACTTTAGAAATCACTCAAGGAACATGCTTTTAATAAGCACCAACAGTACACACCAGACATACACGGGTCTCAGCAATAGTGATACAACACAAGACAAAACAACCCAGCCAGCATCACGGAGCTCCTGGAAAAATCAAGTGTAAAAACTAGTATATAAAAGAAAATAGCCAAATTTAAGCTGAAGAGCAGTTGCTATACAAGGTAACACAAGGAAGCTCACTGTGTATATTAGAAATAGTGAAGCCTCTTAATGGCCACCCAAAAAGATCCTGCACGCTATGTGACCATTTTTGAGAAGGGTCTGCTTTCCCCCATTTCAATAGTCTTTGGCAGAAAGGTGAATGTACAAGGCTGGGGGCAGCAGGCCAGGGGATGCTTTACAAGTTGATTCCCAAGTGACTGTGGCATGTGGTTATTTCCAACCAAAGGTAAAGCGACTATCCCAATGCACATCTATTTCCAAAGTCAAGATAATAATCTCTCAAATATAAAACTCAATAAAGAGGGATATAGCCTGCAGGTGATGGGAGGGGAAAAAAAAAAAACCCTAAAATGTTTACAGCACAATAATTTAAGGCACTAAGATGAGAATCTTTTTGCTTGGGAAAACATTCAAACCTCTGCCCTAGAACACATAAATAGGAACTTACTACACAGTAATCAGCAGTTTAAATAACAGGCACACAATCTCTGACAGAAATTTTCTGTTCTGTTTGTCTAAGGTATGATAAACTTAAAAGCATTTACACAAACTTGGTTTTATGTAACTTATGTTTAATGTACAAAGTTTTGTAGGTATCTTTGGGCCCTCAGAAAACACAACAGGGCTTGTTATATCTAAAAGAGTTTGTAAGTAAAATCAACAATTCAGAAACCAAAATGGAAAACACCAAACTACATGGCGAGATGCACTGAGAAAAAACAGGCTGCAGTAAAACCTCATTAACTAAGTCCACTGGAGAAAAGGAGTCTATTAGATGAAAACCATTTAAATCACCCAGAAGTCATCAGAGAGGTGGGACCTGTCGAGCTGCTCATGGAAGGAGTGGGCTATAACTGAACACGGTGATTGGCAACCAGCGTACCCACTGATGAGCCGGTGCTTTCTAAAAATGGTGTCAAGCAGCTTTCCATAAACTATTTGCATCAGCAAACACTTCAGCTTTACCTACTACCTTAAAGTTCAGGACAAATTAATGAAGTTTCAGTGCAAGAGTAGAAAAATGGTCCAGCATCACCGACACCACAAGAAAACACTGAGCGCAAAACTTCAGTTTGGTACTGTGCAGTGTAGCAACAGCAAGATGCTAACATCGATGGAGGCAGAACCAGGGACAGTGCAGTGGTTCCTACACTTACTTGAAACACAAAACTTCACAATGAAGCAGTAGAACCATAGCTTAGTAGGGGGCACTAAAGTTTCTTATGAGAGTTTTTGAAGGCAGTCACAGTGCTGAGCTGTTGAAATCGATACCTTTCAACATCACACATTAGCAGCAACATATACCCACTTCAGGCTTCTGCATGACATGATTACAGTCAAAACTTAGCAAACGAACACCAGAACAACCAATACATTAACCTTCCATAACCAGAAAGATGTGGCTTTCACTACAGTCAAATCTCAGTATTATCTCCCAAACAGATAATTATAAGTAAGTTATTCTAAACCATTTAGTTTTAACATTGGAAAGCTAGAGGCATAGAGATAACGTGTAAACAGTAAGAGAGTCACTCCACTCCATGTCGGGGTCCAAATCCATCCAGGCTCTGTCTGGAATCTTATGTGGCTGGGGCCTGATTCAAAAGGGAGGAGGCAGAGCCTCAATGGTGCTTGAAGAAAACCCTGGGAGACACTCAAGGGGACTTTGAGGGAGTGTCAGCAACTGGTCAGTAAGAAAGGCTTTCAAGTTATCCCGACAGAGACATCAAGTCAGTCTCAGTTCATGTTTACAAAGCATCAAGTCACTGAAATCTGATTTCTTCTAAGTTGTTGCCATTTGCTTGGATGATATCTTGAAGGTTTCCATTTTTCTCCACCCAGTGTAAGAACACATTGAGTAGAGATCTGGGATTAAGAATTTAGTAAAGGCTTTTCCCTCCTGTTCCTCTTTATGCCAAGGCAAGAACTGGAAAATTCCAAACAAAATCATGTTAGTGGTACAGAAAGTTCATGAGAGATCGCTGTGAACATTTAGTATGTAACAGTGACAAAGGCACAAGCCTGAGGTCTCACTGCGGCCCTGCACTCTGTCAGGCTGACTGGAAGTTAAAGACTTACTCAGGTCAGTAAGAATCAGCATCCTACACATGGAACTGAGAAAATGGCCTGCTCACTTAGAGAACCATGGGCCACGACATTTCTTTTAGACAGGGTCTCACAATGTAGCCCAGGCTCCTCTGCTCTGAGGTCCTCCTGCCTCAGTCTCTCAAGTGCTGGGATTACAAGTGTGTACTTCCAAGCCCAGTAAGGGCTGAGAAATCCCTAACCACACAGGCCCAGCATAGCAAGTGCTTGCCACCCTCTGCCTCCCATCATGCCCCTCGCACCACATCTCCCACTGTTCACATTGCACAGGAAAACTCCCACCAACCAAGTCTAGCAGTAAACAAAATGCATACCACTTATAGCTTCCTGTGCGAAATACTTGACGTCCATGTCTTCATCCTGGCCTAGCTTCTGCAGCACTGGCTTCACTTCCCCCTGCAAGGCACTGAAATTCAGGGGTAACTGAAGAGGTGGCTGGGGGCCACAGGTCTGGTAGGTACAATCTGCTTTGGAATTTGGGGCTTGGCTCTATGGTAACTTTTTAATTTAAAATGAAAGTACTTTTAAATACAAACATGACAAGTACATCAAATAATTTCTAGAGAAGTTCTTGGTGAAATTCGCCTTGGGGCAGTGTTCTGTATATACCCAGAACATAAATGTAAAAGTCACACTGGACAGTCTCAAAACTGAGTGCTGAATTCTTTTCTCAGAATAAGCCCAGATTCTAGGTAAAGAAAAAAAAGAAACCCTTGGGCTTATTTTAGCTGTGTTCCCTGCCATGAGGAGATGCTTTCACACCAAGAGCAACACTAAAATCTTACTTGGTATCTAGAATTGGTCCAATTTTCTGTAGTGACTTGGCCACATTGAAACGGACATTTGCTACTTGATCTCCTGCCATTTTCAACACGATGGGCAACATTTGCTTAGTGGTTATTTCCTGACCACAGGCTTCAGACAGTGCCTAGAAAAATAAATAAGATGGCACATTTAAAACTTTCTAAATACTCCCCAAATCTAGAGAAACAACCTAATATTTAAAGGGAAGGTAATTAATTGACCAACAGAAAAATGTTTCCTACTTGAGCATTTAAGGAACATGAGGTGGCTCAAAAGATGAAAGACCTACACCAAAACACAGAACAAAATGCAAGTTTTAAATATTTAGTTTTATCTTGCTATGTGTGGATTCATGAGGGAGGGAATGATGTCGGGGAGACAAGAGTCCGACCTGCCACCAGCAGCTGGGGTTAAAAAGCTGTGAGCTACCTGACGTGAGTGCTTGAGACTCAAACGTGGGTCCTCGGCATGAACTGGGGGCCCTCCTGTTCACTGAGCCATCTCTCCAGCTCCAAATATTATAATTACCTGAACTGATCAGTATATGAAATGCACCTCAAATAGATGGTAACACTCAAAACTTAGAAATATCCTAAGAATGATTTCATGCCTGAGCTTAACAATGATCAAATGTCTTACTTACATTGATGCAGAATAAAGTGGTCATTCTGTGCAAGTAATTAGGGTCATTTGCCATCACTAACACTCTAGGGACGATGGTATTCTGGGCCCACTCGGTACCGAACTTCTGGACCAACTTCATGAGGTTGTTGGTGGCGGCTTCCCGAATGGCATAAACTGGAGGAGAGCCCAAGAGAACATCCTCAGCTGCTTGCTTTACACACAACCACACACAGAGACTCAGAATATGTCCTGCCAACCTAACATCGCACACTTCATGATAATCATGTTGAGGCACTGCAGTTTAAAACGTCCATGTCCAAGGATAAAAACCCATGCTTTCCTCCTAGCTACTGATTTTTAACAGATACTTGAAATGATTGTTCTTACTACAATGGCACTAACACAGGGTTCCACTGCTGAAATAACCAGAGACTGAGCCTTGACCAAGACCTCAACAACACTGAACTCTAATTGGCCAGATGCCTACTATGTTCCTGGCACCTCTCACTTCTGTTTTCAGAGGAATGCAAGCCCTTCCCGAGTTCTGCCAGTTTTCACTCCTTGTTTTGTCTGTGTCTTTCCCCTCAAGGTCAGACTGACCTGAAAGGTTTCTTTAAATATTTAATTCTGTCTATTCTCACTAACTTTGACTTGATATGCATATGTCCTCACTAACTTTATCCTGTAAAAGATAAATTAATAAATGAAGTGGCCCCACCACTCAGTAAAACAAAACCTGGAACTCTGTTTAACTCCCTCTCGTTGAGCCCTCCCTGTGGGTCGACACTGCCCGCTGACAGACACACAGCCTCTGCAGACTGCACACAGTGGCCTTGCAGCAGCTTCATGCCCAAGGAAGGACAGGGGACATTCCCAAAGAAACTTCCTCACTGTGTACCACTTAAAAGTGCAAAAACATAATTTTTCTTCAAATTATAAAATTCCAAGCTAAATATAAAAGCTGTAGGATGTTGTGTGGTGGTGGTGCACACCTTTAACTCCAGCACTTGAGAGGCACAGGCAGGCAGATCTCTGGAGTTTCAGGCCAGCCTGGTCTACAGTGCAAGTTCCAGGACAACCCCGACCTAACAGAGAAACTCTGTCTCAAAGAAATGGCATTGGAAAGGCCATGGTGAACATTCTCAGGCACCATCCAGCCACTGCATCAGGGAATCCCAAAGCCCCATACAGAAACTCCACCCCACCAGCTCCCAAAATGGAAGAAAAAATGAGGGGGATACTCAGGTTGCATACAGCAAGCATCCTTACACCGAACAGGGGTCATGAATCTCCTTGTAGAATATTAGACCTTAAAAATCCTTCAAAATTTGGAAGAGGAAAAAAAAAAAAACAAAAGCCCGTCTTAATCCAGAAGGCTGGATTTCAAAGGAAGTGATAAAGAGATCTTCTGGAAATGCCACTCTCATTAATATTTACCAAAAATAAACTTTTTTAAATAAATAATTTCTTGGACTGGGGGATGGTTGAGTAGTTAAGAAAATGTACATTGCTGCTACAGAGAACTGGAGTTCAGTTTCCAGCACCTAAACCCAGGGACTCACAACTGTCTACAACCCAGCTCCAGATCAGGACCTGATGTCCTCTCTGGCCTCTTAAGAGAACCTGCAAGTACATGCACAAGCTCACATACAGACACACACATACGCATAATTTAAAATAAAAAACTAAAGCACCTTTCCTATGATTTATAAATGATCTTTTTTTAAACAAATGGTCATAAAAACTTAACTTCTGAGAAAAAATAGTCTTTACCATGTACTTAAAGCACCACATGTATCCATACACATGCCCTAACAGATTGTCATACACAGCTTCACAACCTTCCTTTTCCACTTAGACATATGATACCAACTCACTTTTAACAAAACCACCTACAAATGTAAGCAGACTCAAATGCTCTTATTCTTTCCCTAGTACCTACTCACAAGTACCCACAGATAGATGCACTCAATACATAAAGTACACACAGTACACTGGGGAACCACAACAGGATGATTACCACATCCATACAACAGGGACCCAAAGCTCATGGGACATACCACATGAAAACTTGAAGGCACTCACTGGAATGGGGCTCAGGACACAATGAAGCTGCCAACTCTAGGACCTGACACAGAGAGCCCCTCTTTGCATCCGCTGCCAGGGAAACAAAGGGATATGTGCACACCCACTGCCCTGAGGCATCACCAGAAAGGCACCTACTAAGTCCAGTAAGACCTTCCCTGCACTCATGTCCTCCAGCCCAGCAGCAGAAGACAGGAGAGCCTTCCTCTCACCAAATCAAAGCCCTGGCTCTGTCCTAGGGCACGGACACATCCCCCGACTCCTACTCTATCTTTGCACATCACCTCAGAAAGCCCGAAAAGTCATTTTTCCCCAATGTGTCACAGCCCAGACGGCAGTTACTGAGGACACCAATGGCAGCAGGTCAGTTGCAAACCCTGGTGCTGGAGGAAGTGTGCGTGTAAGAGTCTGAAGCCCACAGGTGGCAGGAGGTAGAGGAGGGCAAAGAGGTTACTCAGCACAGCACAGAACATACATTTAAAACAGAAAATAACAGGAAGTGCAAATGTCAAATCTGTAGTCAGGCCGGACATAGTGGTGCCTGCCTTTACTCCCAGCACTCAGTAGACAGAGGCAGGACAGCCAGGGCTACACAGTATAGTAAAATGTAGTCAGAGAAAGTTAGTGGAACTCTATAACCTCTCCTCGGCACTATGCAGTCAAGGCAAAGAGCGTCCCCTACAGGACTCCTCTCTAAATGGCCATGTGTGAACATCACAGATGCATGTAAACATCAGACTTATGTGAACATCACAGACGTGTGTGTGTGTGAACATCACAGACCCATGCAAAAGCCTGAACTTCCATAATACTTGTTTTTAACTTGTCTACTCACCATGATCCACAAGCCAGGCCATACACAAAGAATTCAGCTTCTCATCAAAAAACTCCACACCCTATGGATACAGAAGATTCCATTAGTAAACATTTCCAAAGTTAGGACAAGATGCTCTATTTACATTGCACAATAATTACCTAAAAGCTAAAGACACACTCCCAACAAGCTGAACCACAAGAGCCATAAAAAAATAATGCCATAGAATTTACAAACTATGAAACTCTTACAAGGCAGAAAGGGAAAACAAGCAGGAGTGAGTGGCACGGGCCCTGTTAAGGGGGAGACAGAACCGAGCCACACACAGGACTGAGAAAAGCAGGGGAGAAACACGGAAGTCTGCCAAGCAAAGCCAGATGCCACGGGAAAATGGATCACTCTGAAAAATGGCTGCTGAGAGGCTTGGTAATCACTTCTCTCCTTTTTGGTTAATAGCAAGTTCTTGAGAATGAGGCAAGTGACACCAACGCATCCCCAGCAGAAGACAGCATCACAAGGGCACGGAAGAAAGCAGCAGAGAGAAAAAGCAGGCACCAAGTGTGCAGGGCAAAGGGTTGATGTGTCCGGTGGAGCCATCCTGACTCTCCAGCCTGCTGGTCTCCTCACACAGGCTGGGGACAGGCTAGCCATGGGATATATAGAGCACACAGGGACGTTCCATGGTGTACACGTTCCCGGTGCCTTCCTTTGAAGTCATTATGCTTATTCTTCTGGTCCAAGCCTAAGAAACTCCTGATGGTGATGACATATTTTAAATGAAGACCAAGAACAGGGGTCCTATCTTTACACTGTCGGCATCGTCTACAGCATCAGCTCTCAGATCCCTTTATTCTAGGTTCAGGATTTTCCTTTAATCTCCTTCAGATAGTATGTGGTTTAACTTTGTATTTACTCATCAATGCCTACAAACAGGCTAGACGGTCTTGAGAGAATTTTATAAATTGACTAACTTTTTAAGAAGTTTACATATAAACTAAGAATGTGTAAGCTGAGGCGGGAGAGATGGCTCAACCATTAGCAGCACTTGAGACAAGACCTCCTGAGTTTGGTTCCTAGCACCCACATGGCAGCTCACAACTATCTGTAACTCCAATTCTAGAGGATTCAATGCCCTCTTCTGGCCCACACAGGTACCAGGTGTGCATATGCTTCATATACATGTGCAAGAAAAACACTCACACACATGAAAATAAGTCAATCTTTAAAAAAAAAAAAGAAAAGAAAATCAGATAAGCTAATAAGACAGGATGGTAAAACACAACATCTGCTCATGACTAATACATGTCACCCCAGCCAGAAAGGTGTAAACCAGCCAAGACACTGCCCTGAATATCACTGGTGGCCCTTGGACACTGCTCTAAATATCTGCTCTATATCTCCTTGGCAGCCTTTGGAGACTCTCCAGGTCTGGTGGAGCTAAGGTTCAAAGAAATAGTGCACATAATCCACCTTCCTTCCAGACAGCTGTTTCAGTCCAGCAAACCCATTATTAGTCACTGCTGCTTTCCGCTCCAGACAGTGAGACAGATCACCAAAGAACAGAAAATGACCCAACACTTGGAAGTGATGGTGGAGAAGCATGACAAGATGGCTTCACCTGACACATAGATATGCTGGGGATCTGTGGCATTCACTTTGAGAAACAGAGCACTTCAAATTTATTAAAATACAATGCCATGGCCATCTACAAGATCCATGCTCATATTACCAAAATTAGCAATATGATACAGTGGTCAAGAAAATGTGAGCCCCATATGCTGTGATCTGAAAGGAATAGAAACAAGCCGTGGGGGTGAGGGACAACAGAGTATAGTAATAGAGTAAACTGGTTCTATGAGCATTCTTAAAAACCACACAGGTTTCCTCCCTTCATCCACCTAGTAAGAAATGCCAAATGTCTAATTAATAACACGCACTACAGTAGCCACTGGAAATGAAACACCACACAGCTCCTGCGCTAAGTGCAATCACTCGTCCACCTCCCCAGCCACACATTTAAGAACTCTTTAAGTCCTTAGAGTTTAGGGGCTACCACAGGGTGAGGGCTATCAAGCTTCCCATTGTTTGCACCTATTGGGAAAGAAAGGAAAGCATGTGGCTATAAAGTCCAGCTTTGAAATTTTAAATTAGTTATATTGATTGGAATAAAATTAATAATGAAACCCAAAGAGTAGCAGACAGTGTGATAACAGGACTTTATCCAAAACAGCCAGCATTATAAGCTCCTGTGTGGTGGATCCTCACCTTCACATCATCAGGAAAACGCTCCCAAGTTCACTGTGCTTAGGAGAGAGTCACAAAAAGCTGAAGTGACTCATCCTGAAACCATGTTTTCCCCATGGATCAGTTCTTAAGTCACACAGATTTTAAACAGGACAACATTTCTATTTCTCAAATATACTCTGCACCTTTATCGTGAGGAGGACAGCAAGGTGAATATGTCTCTAGAACACCCTTCTGTTAGGTCTTACTACATTACTGAAAATGAAAACCATCCTACAGGCCACAAGAATTTACCTCGGTGCATCTAATTGAACCAGACCAGACTGACTACCTGGCCTCTCACTCACCATGCTCCACTGCACAACCAGACAGACCCGACTGCGCACAGAGCCCATGAACTCACCAGCTGGCCTGCCAGCAGCGGCATATACTCAATGATAGCTAGGCGCACCCTCCACTTGGCGTCTTCAGCCAGCTCCACTATGGCAGGAAGGAGAGACTGAGAGAGCTGACGAATTCCAATCACTTCATTTACACAATCCAAATTGGAGATGATATTCAAACGAACTTCTGGACACTATAAACACACAAGCCCCAAAGACTACATGTGAGAATGAACTCCTTTGCCCAGTGCCCTCCTAGCAAGAAAAATAAGAGTGCTAAATAAAATTCAGTACTGACTCAGGCTTAAAAGGAGGTGGCAGCAGGGTGGGGGTCGAGGGCACAGAGTTGAGATATGGCTTAGTGGTAAAACATACCCAGCTAACACAGAGCCCTGGGCTCAACAGTCTGTAATGACCAAAAAAAACTACAGGCAGGAGATCTTAAATGCTAAATACACATATAATCCAAGACACAATGATCTTAACCAGAGTGTCAGGCAAAAGCTATGAGATTTCATTACTTTGTACACCAATTTTAAAAATTAATTAACAAATTGGCAAGCAAGATGGCTCAGCAGGAAATGGCAACCTGGATTTAATCCCCAGAACCCATGTAAAGGTGAATGAAGAGAGCCTCTGAGCTCTGCATGTACATGTATGCCCACAGACATGCACAATAAAGTTGTTTAGACTTTTATTTAATAAATGAGCACAAAGTGTATGAGATGGTAAAAAGCCCAGGTCTGCCACTGCTGGGAGACCTCAGACATCATCTTAACTCCCTGTGCCTCGCTTCCTCACATCTGGGAGTAACCCAACACCTAAACCTGCTGTGTCAATTACATTTAATGGCATTACAAAACACTATCATGCCTAGTACTGATTTTTTAATTTCTCATTCGGGCATATGTATTGTCTGTGTAATGTGTACATTTTCTATGTATGGGTGCCTACAAAGACCAGAAGAGGGGTCCTCTAGAACTGGGGCTACAGGGAGTTGTGGGCCATTCAATGTGCGTGCTAGGATTGGAACCCTGGTCCTCGACAAGCAGCAGTCTTAACTGATGAGCCATCACTCCAACCCCTAATGTTAATACCTGATGCTGTATTTCCGTTTAGACTAAGATATATTAGCTTTAAAAATAGGGAACCAATGAGTATAATATAAAAATTTAAAAGACGGGTATTTCTAGGGTGGTTTTAAGATTTATATGTATGGGAATTTTGCCTGAATATATGTTTGTGCACCACGTGTGCACCTGGTGCCTGCAAAGGTCAGAAGAAGGCATCAGATCCCCTGGAACTAGAGTTGCTAGCTGTCATGTGGGTGCTGGGAACCAAACCCAAATCCTCTGAAATAGTAAGTGCTCTCTCTTAACTACCCAGCCACCTCCACAGCACCTAGGGTTTTTTAGCTGGTTTAGTTGGTTTTGGTTTTTGAGACAGGGTTTTGCAGTATAGCTCTGATTGTCCTGGAAATTGCTCTGTAGACCAGGCTGGCCTCAAACTCAAGGTTATACCTGCTTCTGTCTCTCTAGTCTTGGAATTAAAGGTAAGAACCACCACACCCAACTACATTTGTTTGTCGTTTAGTAAGTCCCTTGTGCTTATTTTTTGGGAACTGTAACCCTATAGCCAAACAGGACTGTCAAATATCAAAATTATGATTTTTTTCTTCCCCCATCTATACACTTTAGGTCCTATTTCAGTAAAATCGCATCAAATCAATGAAATCAAAGCAAAAGAATTCATAGCCGGCTCACCTCATCCTTTAACTGAGCTAAAAAAAGAGGCAGAAGATGTTCAATGGTATTCTCTTTACCCAAAATTGTAGATAATCCCATAATTACAGAAGCTAGAGCTGACTTCACATGTTGATTGGTATCAGACACTAATTCCTAAAACAGAGTAAAAATTAAAGACAACAAAAGTCTCCACAGCACCTCCCAAGAAGTCAACAGCAACACTAGTCACAGAGTAGCTGACCCAGTCACCCCCTGGTAACAAATCTAAGCCCCCACCAACAGTGTACGATTATGACATGCACAAATAAACTCAAAATATTGTCACCAATGTCATGTATTTGACTCATTTATGTCTCGTCCTTGTTAAAATGCTAAGAGCTTCATAGGCAGAGTAAACAAAACAAAATGAAGTCACGTTCACCTTTATATAGGGCAGGATTTGATTCATAATTATGGTCTCTCTACCTTCAGTGGGCAGGTTCTCACAAAGTTCTGAGACAGATGAAAAGGAAATACAATGTGGTCAAAGAGCCAATATTGAGTACTATTTTAGTGAAACCACCACACCAAAATCATATCAAATCAATGACATCAAAGTCAAGTTATATAGCCGGACTCACCCTTTACTTTATGGGCAGCGGCTGCTCGGACCTCAGCTTCGCAGTCCTTAAGGAGGCTCTGGAAAGCGGGGATGAGGTCACTGAGCGTGATTTTGGGGCCCACTGCTTTCTGGAGCTAAAAAACAATTTATACAAGTTTAATGGACACTAACAAAACAGTCAATAAAACAAACTAGCACAATCTTCAAATGTACACTGTAACCACAATAGGCTGGCAGGCTTGAAATGCCAAACACTTTATCAACCCCCCCAAGCCATCTCACTGTCTCCTTTTTTTAAATTTTTTTCTATATTCAAAGCTATTCAATAGAATTTGTAAGCTGTGTCTAACAGACAATCTGTGGGGCAAATGCCTTTGAGGTTTTCAATACGTGAAGTGCAGTGCATTTTACCTCTGAAAATTTGTCAGCTACCATATAGCGAACCCGCCAAGATTTATCTTCTGCTGCTTGCCGAAGTGTAGGCATTACCAAGGCCTCAAGGTCATCCTGAGACAGTAACTGGGCAATACTGACACAAGCTTCCACAGCTAGCAGGCGCACAGAATCCTAAAGGAATAACATTACATTCAGTCAGGGCACACTGAGTGTAGTGAGGTGATGCTGTCACGGGCACTGCTTAAGAAAAGGGGAGAAAAAACCACTGTGCTGGCTACTTTATGTCAACTTGACATAAGCTAGAGTCATCTGAGAAGAGGAAACCTCAACTGAGAAGATGCCTCCGTAAGATCCAGCTGAGGCAAGCCTGAAGGTCACTTTCTTAACCAATGACTTATGGGGAGGACACAACCCTTCATGGGTGGTGCCATTCCTGGGCTGGTGTCCTGGGTTCTATCATAAAACAGGTTGTGTGAGCCATGTGGGGTACAAGCCAGTAAGCCTCTGCATCAGCTCCTGCTCTGGGATCCTTCCCTGTTTGAGTTCCTGCCCTGGCTTCCTTCAGTGATGAACAGCAATGCTGAAGTGTAAGACAAATAAACCCTTTCCTCCCCAACTTGCTTTTTGGTGATGGTGTTTCATCACAGCAACATAAACCCTAAGACAACCTCCACATATGATGGCGTGTCTTTAGGTCTTCAAATGGCTGAGTAACTTCTTCCTTTGCATGTGAAAGACATAAAAACTGCAGCCAAGTTTTACTAAATAAAATGAAAAGGATGTTCTAAATCTTATTTATTGCAATGTGAATAATGTGTGTGGAAGTCAGAGGACAACACGCTGGAGTCAGACCTCTCACCTTTCTATGGGTTCTGAGCTCTGAAATCAGGCAAACACTTTACCACTGGGACATCTGATTGGCCTCAAAATAGAAAGATTGATTTTTAATTTAATGCTATATTCAAAGCCTTATTATAATAAGTTGGAAAATAAACTTACATAAGTAATTAATAATGTATTTGTAGAGTTTAAAGGACAAGGGATATCACTCTGAAAGCAATTTCCAACTACTCTTTGGCCATAACAGTAGCATGAGACAGAGTGTGCAAAAGAAGACACAGAGAGAGTGAAAAGCTAACAGCCAAATAACAGAGTGGAAGTGAAATGCTGACACTCAAACAGAGAAAACCACGTCTAGTACAACAGCAGAGGAAAACTGGAAAGGCAGGGAGACAACCTGCTTTTCCTCATACAGAGCTGCTCAATGCCAAGTGGGACACAAGAATGTCTCCTCAGTAAGAGAACACAAACATCAGGAGTTATGACTTCAGACTTGGGAAAATCAGACACAAAATACTGTGAGAACCCAGGAGAAATGGAGCAAGAAATTCACTGCATATGTAATAATCAGAATACACACACACACTATAGCGTGCATGTGAGTATGTGTGTTGGCACAAACACACACACACACAAATCCAACACAGCATACAAGCACCCTTATCTCTTGCCTGGTTTATCAGTATCACTTAATTGGCCCTTTTTCTATTTTTATCCCTCCGACAACTTTGTTTCCACCCATAAGCCAGAATAACCTCTCAAACATGTAAACTATATGTCACACCTCTTCTCCAGGTCTAGGTAGAGTGTCAGTGCATCTGGAGAAGAAACTCCAAAACCACAGCCTTCCGTGAGCTACCAATGCTCCCACCACTTCCTTCTCCACTCTCCCGCTTACCGGACTAATCCAACCACCGTGTTCCAATGTTGGTAAGAGCTGTTTAAAGGGCTCTTACGCTCCTGGAAGGAGCAGAGACAGCATTTTCCTCTCGTCTGTCACTTCTTCAGAGCACTCTGCTGACTAACAGTCAGTGTTCGACTATGTTACACTATTTTCATGACATTTATGCCTGGTTTTTATCATGTTTGTTTTTCTCCATTAAAATGTAAGTTCCATGAGAGTGGAGGCCCTGTATGTCCTTAACATTAGGACTGTGCCTCACATATGTAGGTACTCTATAAATGTTTCTGTCAATGAGTAAGCCATGAGCAGATCTTCTACCAGTAGTCAGAGAAGGCATAGTGTATACAAATTTCCTAACAAAGCATTCAATATTTTTTGGAGCAACAAATGCTGACAGTCTGCCCCCACCTATGAATGGGCGAGTTTCATGTCTATTGTTTTCCACACTCTGTGGCTGCTTCAGCAACAATAATTACAACAGGGATATATGACCCACAGAGCTGAAAATACTTCCTGGCTGGCCTTCACCAGAAAATCTGCATATCCCAGTCTATCACTTTGTAGAAAGTATAGAAGATAAGAGAAAACATCAAATTATGCCATGGGAAGTATAACCAGCTAAATTCCAAATAAGGATGATAAGCTTGCCCTGCTCCAACATGGAAACCACCATGTACATGTGGCATCTGCATGCCTGAAATGTTGCCAATTTCAAATTGTAAGACTCAGAAACTTGGAGCTGAAGCCTACATACATTCAAACCCTAACTACACCATAATTAGCTAAATACAGCCTTGAACAAGCTTCATAAACTAGCTGGGCCTCCATTTCCTTGAGTATCTGTGCCATGGGCTGTTAGGAGAATCTAATTCTATACTACATGTAGTTACTTAAAACAGGCTGGTAGATACAGTCAGTCCATGTCCATGGTTCCCACACACCAATGGAGTAAGCCAACCATACATCAAAATATTTGGGAAATTTTCTTTGTCTGTATTAAGCCTATACAGATTGTTTTTCTGTCATCACTCCCTAAAGAAAGTAGTATAACAACTATTTACAGTTCATTTGCACTATAGCTTTTTTATTTATTGTGTTTGTGAGAGAGGCACGCATACCACAGCCATATGTGGAGGTCAGAGGGCAACTTTCAGGACTTGGTTCTTGCCTTCCACCTTGCTGAGGCAGGCTAAATCATTTCTGCTGCTGCACTGTGTACCCCAAGCTGACTGGCCCATGATTTTCAGGGAGATTCTCCTGTCTCTGCCTCCCACCTCACCATAGGAGTGCTGGGATTGCAAATCTGTGCCACCATGTCCAGTTTTGCATGGGTTCAGGGGACCAGACACAGGTCCCCAGGCTTGGACCAGCTAGCACCCTCACAGGTTGGGCCATCTCTCCAGTGTATGTTGTATTAGGTATTGCAAGTAGTCTGAAGGTGATCTAGAGTAGGTACACAAGAGGATGTGTACAAGCAGTGGCAAATACCATACCACTTTACATTTGGAAACTGAGATCCACAGATGACCCTGCAACCATCCCCATCTTCCATACTGAAAACAAGTATATTAAGTAATTTAGAGGTTCCTGATTTTTATCATTCTACACCAAAGAAACCAGACCCTTGGATCTAAGATTGCTATTGTACGTAGTGATACCATACACTAGTACAGAAATGAAAACAGTCAGGGTTCCAGGAAATGCTTCATCTCCAGCTCACATCTCCAGCTCACGAATCTGAAAGGTACCCATCCCTGGGCAGCCTGATGCAGCTCTGGGCTTCCTAGTTATGGAACCCAATTCATCTCTGACTCCTCCTCTTAATAGCTACTAATGTAATGAAAAAGGGGCCTAGTTAAGAAAGAAAGAAACACAGGAGCATTAGAATGGACTCCAAACCAAAACTAAGTATTAATTTTGCAAAAGGACCCTACATTAGAGTCAAAACTCCCCATATAAATGTTTTTTTTAATTATTAAAGAGCACATCTGTATCTCCTAAATCTAAAGCCTTGAGTTACCTGTTCATCTGAAGCTAGATTCGTGAACAATGGAACAATTTCAGTTTTCACACTGTCTAATTCCAAAACTTTTGCAAATTCACCCAATTTGGAAGCAGCAGCACGTCGCACCATTGGTGTGTCATCTGAGCACAGGGAACGGAAGTGCCTGCAGCATGAAATAAGGTATTTCCTGTCAAACACTTGGTTAAACATGCCCCAATACCAAGAGATGGCCACTTAAAGCCTTTCCCTTACATCAATGATCAGGTTTCTACTCACAGATGTACAGAAAGGGCCAGGAAAACAGCTCAATCAGGAAAGTGACTGCCACCCAAGTGAAGCCCACTCAGAGTCCACAGGACCTACACAAATAGCTGTGCACAGTAGTAGTACCTATAACCTCAGAGGTAGCAAGATGGGAGGCAGAGATGGGCGGATCCCAGAAAGCTCACAGGCCAGGTAAGCTAGCATATGTGGCAAAGTTGCAGATCAATGAGAAACACTGTCTCAAAGAAAAGCTCAAAGAAAAGGAGGAGGATAACTGAAAACCAACACCAGAGGCTGCCACATGAAGCATGTACGTATGCACGTGTGCACATGCATGCATACACACATACACACACACACACACACACACACACACACACACACACACACACAAAGCCATCAGTACATTCAACTACATGAAAAAGTATCACCAAGGGCTAGAAAGATGGCTCAGCCCGTTAAGAACACTGAGGACCCAGGTTCAATTCCCAGCATCCACATGGCAGTTCACAACTGTCTATAGCTCCCAGATCTAATATCCTCACACAGACATACATGCAGGCAAAACACCAATGCACATAAAATAAAAATAAATAAAATTATAAAGAAGGAGGGAAGGAGGAAGAGAGGGAGGGAGGGAGGGAGGGAGGAAGGGAGGTAAGGAGGAAGAGAGGGAGGGAGGGAGGGAGGGAGGAAGGAAGGAAAGAAGGAAGGAAGGAAGGAAGGAAGGACGGAAGGACGGACAGGCGGGCATCACCAGTCTTGCTGATCTAGTATGAAGCCCTGATGACAACAGAGCACTGTGTAAACTCTGGCTGTGAATCCCCAGTAATCCCAAACACTAAAAAAACTGTCTCTTACTGTCGAATTTCTGCTTTGACAGCATTGGAAGCTCTGGGATAGCAAACGCTGAACAAACCACACGCAGATGTGCGAGAGGTGAACCAATCCCCACTTGCCAGGCGTTTCACCAGAGGTACAAAATGAGCTTCGAGTGCAACGGGAGTGTGCTCCTGAGAGATCTGCCTCAGGGACTCTACAGCCTTGTCTCGAACAACAGTCTCCTCCACAGTAGCCAAGCTTTCCAAAGGAGGCTGCAGAGATCAAAAAGGGAAACCAGAGCTGACAACTTCTTAAATCAGGTTAGACACAGATTGACACCTTTTATGTGACTGAAGGGAAGCGGTACATGGAACCAGAATGTTAACTACATCATACCAAATGGTTACTTTCAGTTCACACAGTGATAACATATGGTGTGGCCAACCTGAAGACACGACTTCTGCAGAAAAGCCAAGATCGCATGTCCCAGATGGCAATCCCCAGATGGTGTCTACAAGTGACACTGGAAGAGACTTGACACAGTATCACTATTATTAGGAGCTGATGCTTAAATGATATGCAGCCACATCCAGACAGGAACAAGTCCAAAACTGTGGCCAACTGTGAGTAACACAAGTGCATGGTAATTTCTGGTCAGGCTACTGAGTCCATACCCTTTTGTGCACCATCCTGACATTCTTGGAAGTGCAAGAAATCCTAGCCAAGTGTTCAATGGCATCAATTTATACAATCAATATAAAGCTGAGTAGACAAGTTTTGTTCATTTCTCTCTCTCTCTCTCTCTCTCTCTCTCTCTCTCTCTCTCTCTCTCTCTCTCTCTCTCTTTGGTTTTTCAAGACAGGATTTCTCTGGTTTTGGAGCCTGTCCTGGAACTAGGTCTTGTAGACCAGGTTGGTCTTGAACTCACAGAGATCCACCTGCCTCTGCTTCCTGAATGCTGGGATTAAAGGCATGCTGTTTTCAAAATACATTCAGAATCTTTCCAAGAGCAAAACAGGAGTTTCAGACGAAACAGCCAAATAATAAATGCAGATATGGGGGGGGGGGTCTTGCAGCTATAGAGACATAAAAGACAGGAGAGGTTCAAGGCCTGGCCCTTGTCAGTAACTGAACGTGGCACAGCAGATGGGCTGCTTCTCTGGACCTCTAGCTGCCTTTCTAACTTTGCATTTGATCCCAGTAAATTCAGCTACAGGTACAGCTGCAGAGATCAGAGTAAACTCCATAGCAGAACTAACCAAGAGTGAAGGTCAGGACTTAAGGGAAGGAGTGTGCCTGCCTAATATGGTTCAAAAATGTAGACATCTCTGCGCTCTCCTAGAGAGGATGTCAAAGACCCACTGAAAAGTCATTCTTTCATCATCTGTCCCCTGCCTGCTGTGACACAGCTTCACACTGCCACACTTCAGACACTGGCTTGTGAGAGGTCCCTTCATTTGAACTCTGCCCATTTTCCAATTTCAGGGCCCTGATGAACCACTCCTGCTTACTTTCACTCCAATGTTTTATACATTAGCAGCTTTGAACCCAGAAAGCTGCACAGTTGTAAGCCTCTGAAACTCATTCCTTCTGTAATGAATGCTGTTATTGTTGTAGCACTGAGGACACAGAAGGAATGAGCAAACTAGATGCCTCACTCTAAGGACTCTACATCCTAATGGTGGAATCAGATGAGACTAGGTGTAGGGCAAGGGGGTGATGAAGAGGCTACTCCAATGGTGGTCAGGGAACAACTCTCTCGTATAAAATGCAGTTGTCTGACTTACAAGGAGTCAGCGACAAAAACTCTAAATAGCATCTCTCTAGAGATAACACCTGTAGTCAGTGTCTCAAGGCAGTATGAGCTGGGTTTATAATGAACAGAAAGACTAATGTGTGGAATGAATTACCAAGAGGAACAAAGTGTACGTATTATGAGCTTTTCATTGCTGTGACCCAAAATAGCTAACAGAAACAAAGGACTTATTTTGGTTCAGTTTCAAGGGTTCATTCCATAGTTGCCTGGCCCCATGAGCCTCAGCAGAACAACATGGCAGTAACAAAGTGTGGCAGAAGAGCTTCTCTGCCTTACTGCAAAGAAACAGAAAGAAGCAAGATACCTTCCAGAAGCTGCCCCCAACATCCCACTACCTACAGCTAGACCCCACCTCCTAAAGTTTCTAGAAACTCCCAAAATAATGCCACCAGCTAGGACCAAGTGCTCAGCACACAACTGTGCCTCTAAGACTGACTGGGATAGATGCAAAGTCTACAGGACTAATTGTTCAGATGTGAGGAAGAATGGAAGGATGGAAGGAGGACTTAAGAATGCCTTCTAGTGCTGGGATGCAGCTCACTGAATGAGAACTTACCCAGCATGCAAAGGCCCTGGCTTCAATCTCTAGCACCACTAAAAACAACAGCTATCTTCTAGGTTGGGCTTGTATAACTGGGTAGCTGGTGATTCAACTTAAAAAGGGGCATATTTTGAGAGGGAAATGACAGCCCATATATAACTCTGTTGACTTCTACAAGTCTCCATTTAACTGTTTCCCATTTTACAGAATGGTTCATAGTCGAGCTAAGAATCATGGGAGCCAGCATCATATATACAATATTTAAAGCCCTAAAACAGATAGCCATGCCTTGTCCAGCTGGTCAGTTTCTAGTCACCCTTTAAGGTTTAGTTCATCTGCATGGTGGGGCACACCTAAGATCTCTACGAGACTTAAGCCAGCCTGGTCTATATACAGTTTCAAGCCAGGCAAGGCTACAATAGCAAGACCTTGTCTCAAAAATACAAACAAAAGAAAACAAATTAAGTTCCTTTCCTCCCCATCCCTGACAAGCCTACCAAGGCAGAAAGAAGTTCTTATATTCAGCTGATAAAAATAAGAGCTAAGCTAAAGTGCCTACATTATTTATTCACTCAACATTATCATATCACCACCTGCCCATAAAAAGATCTGTATAAAAAAAAAAAAAAAAAAAAAAAAAAAAAATGCTGCACTGTAGCAGATGCAGAAATCTATAATCAATGGGCCAAGCTCCTGGAGTTCAGTCCAAGTGAGGAGAAGTGATAATTTGGACAAAGGAGTCAAGACCATGATGGGGAAACCCATAGAATCAGCTGACCTGAGCTAGGGAGAGATCACTGACTCAGGTCTGACAAAGGGGGAATCTGCTTAAGAACCAACTCCCTTAATACAGGTGACAATGGTGCGGCTGGGACAATACACGAGGCCACTGGCAGTGGGACCAAGATCTAACACTAATGTACAAACTGACTTAGTGGAGCCCATTCTGTATGGAGATAATTTGCCCAACATAGACACAGGGGTGTGTGGGGTGGAGAGGTGCCTTGGTCCTGCCTCAACAAGATAATGGGACAGACTTAGTAGACTCCCTAGAGGAGGCCTCACCCTCTCCAAGGAGCAGAGGGGACGGGGAAGTGGAGGGAGCAGGAGGAGAGGCGGGAGAATTGAGACTGAAATGTAAAAATTAAACTAATTAAAAAAGTATTATCTTAAAAAAAATGATGCAGTGTCTATCACTCGATAATCCTACAGAGTTCCAGAAAGATAGGCCATAGGTAAGTACTCACCAGCAGACAATGGGCAAAGTCAGGACCTCCCACCAAACCGGTGAAATTTCCCAACTGCTCAGCGAGCGCTAACAGCACCTCATCTTCATCATAAATTGTATCTGAAAATAAAAACAGTTGGTTAACCCATAAGGACAAGTGTCTTACACTTATCTGAGCAAGTACTTACACAGATGCTACAACTACAATCCTAAAGGTATTGTCTTCCTTGTCTAAATTAGAAGTCTTCGTGAATGTTTCACAGAATTACTAAGAAATTAACATCCCATGTCAATAACCTCCCCATTAGTTACACACCTTATGTTTGAGTATGTCTGGCGTAACATTTCTATACACCTTGCAGAAGGCACCTGCTCCTTCTAGTACTGACTGCTATACTAGGTAACAAACTTAAAAAACAGTTTTAAAGTCAACAGAAAATGGAACGTGTTTCTTTAAAGGGCATATACCTGTAAGGAAAGGCAGCAGTTCAGTTCGAGTCCTTTCCACCCCGAGTGCTAGAGCAATAGTCGATAACTTCTTGATACTGTTGAGACGGAGCTTTAAAAATAATGTGGGAAGAAGAACAAAGCAAAGAGATGGTTGCAATTCAGGTCAAAAGAAGCAAACAGGTGAAACACTGGCATACAGTATATAATGAGGATGAGTCTTTCACTTATCTTATTCCTAAAATAACTCAAGAACCGTTTAACACGTCATTAGCCAGAGGCTATCCCTAGGGAGAACACTAAAGGGCCAGGAAAAAAATGAATGAATGAAAACAAGCGGGCAGTGAGAGATTCTGAAAAGAGAGAACTCTGGATGGAAGGAAGCAGGTGAAACGGTTAAACACAACTCCTCCCTTTTCAGAGAAAAGTTCCATCACAACTGATGCACCACTCATCTGGGTTAATCAGCTGTGGCGCTCTTCCTACCCAACTAGCCTGGCCAGTTTGCCAGCAGAGACAGGCACTCCGCAGCACTTCAAAGGGTCCCTGGTTCCCGGGCCGCTCCTCCGCTCCCGGGCGGCCCCGCAACCCACCGGTGCTAGTCCAGCCGAGGGGGGGGGGACTGGTTCCCCGCCCACTGCCGGAACAGCCCGGTGCCACCACCCCAGAGGCTCGAGGAAGAGCTGCTGGGAGTCGAGGCGGACCCCGGCGGAGCCTCCGCCAACCCCTGTCCCCTACGAGCGCTGAACACGGCTCTGCCGTCCCCGGGGCCGCCCCCACGGCTGAGATGGCCTTCCCGCTTCTCCACCATGTGCGCCTCCGCACTCTCCTCGACTCCCCAGCCCCAGTCTAGTACCTGCACGTCCTCATTGCGGAGCTCGTCGATTAAAACCGCGATCGGGTAGAGAGAATCATCTCCATCTCCGCCGGCTGCACCTGGACCGGCCCCGGGCCCCGCTGCGCCCGCCATGTTCTTTCTCCTCTGGCTGGTCGCCGCCGTACGCCCCGCGCCCCGGCCACGCCCCGCGCCCCGGCCACGCCCCACACCCCGGCCACGCCCCGCGCCCGGGCAGGCGGGGCTCAATCCTATCGGCCGGCTCTGGCGAAGCAAGAGAGTTAAGTTTTTAGCCTGCGCGCGGAATCTCCGTCCTGACCCGCGTTGCTGGAACTGGAGGTCTGAACTCCAGAAGAAGGGCGTGCTGAGAATACCAATGAAACCCCTGCATCCTTTCCCCGGCCGAAAGAAACATGGGCAGGGATTCATCCTCTGCTCGCTGTGCTCTGAAGGAGAGGGGCCTGCCTGAGTGATGGGTGCAAAACCTCATTAGAACTCCAGGCCAGAGACGGTACCCTAGGCCAGGAGGAAGAAGCTTTAGCACCTCCCCCAGACTTCTTGCTGGCCTGGAGCCACTAGGTCTCAGCCCTAATTTCCCCCTGGGCTAGAAGCCTCCACACAACCCCTCCACCTCTTCCTCTGGCCTGTTTGCCAAAATCGTGGGCTGGCTCCTCCTACTTAAGACAAATAATGAGGTGAGAGAAAATGAACAGTGCTGTCCAAACTCCCCAGTCAATATTTTTTCCACGCAAGCTGTTCAAAACATGCTGCTCTCTTGTTTTTGTGTTTCTTTTCAGTGTGGTACTGGAACGGCGCCTTCTGTTGTATTGTCTTCCTTTTTTAAACTGTTCTTTAGCAAGAAGCATATGTGGAAACCGGCCTCCCTAGACCTCCGGAAGTCCTCCTAGAGGACCCGAAGAAGAGGTGGTCCTGGGCATTGTTTCTCACAGAACTTAAAGGAAAGTTTTCACTTGCCCTTTGTAATTACACAAAGTAACTTGAATGCCCAGTCCTTTTATGTTTTAGAACGGGATGGAAGCAGCTTAGATTGGTAGTTCTGTATGACTATCACAAGCTCTCTTTTTTTGGGGGAGGGGGGTGTTGAAGACAGGGTTTCCCTGTTTTGGAGCCTATCCTGGAACTCTTTCTGTGGATCATGCTGTCACAAGTTCTTAAAAGACACTATTTTGTGCACTAATGAAATTAATAAATGCGATTTAGGAGGTAAGATTTCTCCCCCCTTTTAAAACATGGGACTCCTAGCAGGAAACAGGAGATTGTTAGCCTTTAGTAGTCAAAGCTCAAAAACCAACAGACTTCAGTAATTTGGTTTTTGCTTTCTTTTCTCAAATTGAGTCCATGAATGTATGCTTGAAGGCTTTCATTTAATTTTTATTTTGATAACTTTTAGATTCCCATAAGGCACAGTCTGGACTGCTGGGGTGCCTACTTTGTTTTTTAAATTAGAAAAAATGTGTGTGTGTGTGTGTGTTGTGTACACACATAAGCCACTGAACAAGTATGGTCAGAGGACAACTTGCAGAGTGGGTTATCTCTTTTTACCAACTGGGTTCCAATAACTAAAAGGCTGTGAGGGTTAGTAGCACATACCTTTATCCACTGAGCCATCTAGCTGCCTCCCAGGGACTACTTTAATCAGCCTTGCCACATGATTTCAGCACCTTCACTTGCATCAGTTTCAGCAGAGTTTTTATTGTTCTGGACTCATAAGGAATGCACAGAGGTAGATTTTAAATATGTTTTTATTCACAAAATGAAAGCCAAAGGTCATCATGCAATTACAGTTTCAATGGTTCTAAAAGCTATAAGAATATGAAGAAACTCAGGACATGAGTGTGGTGAGACCTAAAGAAACTGGGCTTGGCAGTAGTTGGGAGGCAAGGCAGGTGAGGTGGATCTCTCTGAGTTCAAGTCCAGCCTAGTCTACAGAGGTAGTTCCAGAACAATACCAAAGCAATACCAAGAAACCCTGTCTCAAAAAACAAAAAAGAAAAAAACAAACAAACTGGGCTTGGACCAGGGCAGTGGTGGCCCATGACTTTAATCCTAGCACTTGGGAGGCAGAGGCAGATAGATATCTGTGAGTTCAAGGCCAGCCTGGTCTATAAGCAGAGTTTCAGAACAGGCTCCAAAGCTACACACAGAAACCTGTCTTAAAAAAACCAAACAAGACTCACAAAGTGTTTAATTTTTAGTAAAAGATACTTTTATTATATTGAATAGCAAAAATATCAATATAATTAATTTTAATAGTATTGGTCTTGTGGTTTCATTTGTATTTAACTTGTAAATCTGGTTTGTAAATGTATAAAGACTGTAATTGGTTTTTTTTGTTGTTTTTTTGTTTTTGTTTTTTGTTTTTTTTTGAGACAGGATTGCTCTGTGTAGCTTTGGAGCCTGTCCTGGAACTTGCTCTGTAGACCACGCTGACCTTGAACTCATAGAAATCACCTCCTGCCTCTGCCTTAAAGACTTTAATTTTAAAGGAACATGATATTTATTGGTTCATACTTGAAATTTTAAGTAATGTATAATAATTTGCCTGATTTTGCAGGACTTTTGTTTTTTTCTCTTTAAAAGTGGATCCAAAGCTGGCAGTGGTGGTACATGCCTATAATCCCAGCACTCAGAGGCAAAAGCAGATAGATCTGTCTGAGTTCAAACAGAGTAAGTTCCAGAACAGCCAGAGCTACACAGAGAAACCCTAGTTCAAAACACACACACACACACACACACCAAAAAAAAAAAAAAACCCAAAAACAAACAAACAAAAAAAAAAACCCTAAATAGATAAATCAAAAAGTAAAAGTGGATCCAAGCCCTGCTTAACGGTTGCATGCCTTTAATCTTAGCTCTAGGAAGATAGAGGCAGATGGATCTTAGTGAGCTCTGGGTCATCCAAAGCTACATAATAAGGCCCTGCCCACCTCCTGGGAAAAAAGTGTATCCAGGTGCACGCTCATAATCCAATGCTTAGGAGACAAAGGCAGGGGATACATAGACAGTTCTACTCCAGTTAAGGTTCACAGAAAGACCTTGATAGATCCAACCTGGCATGGGAAGCTCAAGCCTGAGATCCTACAACCCTAACTGCACTTGCTCCATCCCTAGTACCCAGGAAAAGAGAAACAGAGGGTTAAGGTAGGAAGTTCTGACTTAGTATTTTACCAATAAGAGGATCAGAAGGGTTCCTAAGATGGAGGGGGGTTCTATTCCCTTATCTAAAATGTGTTCAGAAATGATAAAAGAAGCAAGCCCCTGAGAGGAGCAGACTAGTCATTCCCACACCTTGACAGGTTAATAAAATTGGTGCCCTGGCATCACACTACTCTGCTTCAGAGTCAGATGTGATCTGCTCAACCAAGCACAATGAGGTGGAGGCCGAAGGAATAACTATGATTAAATATGAAATCACAAGCTGAGGAACTGGAACCTAGAAAATTGCCTGGTTTGAGACTCATGGGGCCAGACTTCAGTCTCCACTGTCTCTGATTCAAGGGTGACCTACCTCTCCCCAAGCCTCAGTCACACTCTCCACCCCCTCATCCCTATAAAAGACAGAGCTAACCACCTGGTTCCTACTCCAGTAACTGTGAGGCCATGAGAACAAAGCAGCTAATAAATGCAGAGATGCTAATAACCCTTCAGTAAAGAATGTGATGGAAATGGGCCACAGCAGGAAGAAGCTGCTTCAAAAAGGGGGCCAAGTCAAAGGCAGGCCTTGAGGAAACATGATCCACTGACCAGCATCCAAGGGTTCTGTCATCGATGTAGATTCCTGGGCCTGTGGGTATTCCTCAGCAATAGAGTAAGTGCTTAATCTACAGGATGAAAATTGAAAAGTTAGCTAGGGAGACAATTCAGTGGGTAAGAAAACTTGCTACAAAAACATGAGCTCCTGGATTCAAATCACCATTGAAAAAGCTTGATGTAACTGTAACTCCTGTACCCTGGTGCTGTCATAGGGAGAGAGACAGGGAGGGGTCCATAGGGCTTGCTGTCCAGCCTAGCCCTGGCTTGAGTGAGAGATGTTGTCTGTCTTAAGGGAATAAGTAGCAGTGAATGATAGAGTAGGACACACACACATTTGCATGCACTTTTAAAAGAATTTAATTTAATGTATCCCAGTACTCAGGACGCAGAAGCAAGTAAATTGCTGTGAGTTCCAGGCCAGCAAGGGCTATATAGTGATACCTTGACTCAAAAAAATAAATAAAATTTAAAATTCTTTTTAATTCAAACTCCTGGCCTCTACCTCAGTTTTACTGAATCAGGGTCCCTAAAAGTGGAACCAGACATCTTACAGGGTTCTCTAGAGACTCTAGTGTGACTGATGTTTGAAACTCATTAAAAGGTTTATCTAAACTGGGCAATGGTGGTATACTCTTTTAATCTGAGCACTCAGGAGGCAGAAGCAGGCTAGCCTAGTCTACAGAGCAAGTTCCAGGACAGGGCCCAAAGCTGCACAGAGTAACCCTGTCTTGAAAAACAAAACAAGATTTATCTGGAAAGACAATTACCAGGCACAGGAAAGCAACAGGCACTGGCTCAGAAAAGGGCTACTTCTGTCCACAAAAAAGCAAACAGTAATGCTACCTACTTATCATTAAGCAATTCTGTCCCTACTGGCTATGGGTTTTGCCTGATTTCCTGGCAGCCAGCCATGCTCTACCAATACAACCTGTGGTACTGAACTACTTCCATACCTCCCTCTCCTTTCCAAGGCTGTCTCTAACCTCCTCTCCACTTCCCACATACCACAAGAAACTAATGACCATGGAGCCCAGGGGGCAACAGCTGAGTCTAGGCTGAAGATTGATGGTAGCCTCTGAAATGAGGCAGTCTCAGTACAAAGCCAGAGCTCTGATACCCACAGAACAGTTCACTCATCCAGTGTGAACTGAGAGGAGGCAAGGTTGGAGTTGCCCAGCTCCTGTACAATAGCACAGCAAGAGTGACTGCACAGCCTGGTGGACAGCCTGCAACAGCCATCATAGCTCTCTGTCACATAGAAAAGGACCCAGCCTAAGGAAACCTAAATGACATCATTATCCTCAATGGGCTCTTTGCCCCTTCCTCACCGACACAGAGGTTTATGAACAGGCAAAATGGCAAAGGCAGGCCC